GCAATGGTGCTGTGCATATTTGGGGTAGATCTTCCCATCTCAATTAATCTCATCAAGCAAATCCCACCAGGCATGCCCAGACACTCATCTCCTGGGTTGTTCTAGAGCCTCTCAACTTGATAATCAATATGGCATGTCTTGATTGCCAATTGTGTGCTAACAACAATAGTACCGGCAGCTGTCACCACCCCTGCTACCCTGTGCCAGGTACGGTTGACCGCTTTCCCCTGGCTTAGCCGGAGTGGGAATGGGATGGGGCCGGGCCGGCGGACTCCAGCAAAGACCTCATTGCGCCCCTCTAAATCACAGGCCCTTCTTTGTTGAAATCTCCCCCTGGGATCCTGGCCTGGAGTTGTTTAGCTGTTGGACAGCTGTGTTGTCATCTTCTGCAGGCCCACAACTCCCTCCCACTCTATTATTTACTGTAAAAACAATAATATAGCATCAGTAAAAGGCTTTTAAAAAGCCCTCTGAATCACACCATCCTAGCCCAACAGCTGCTTTAATTTTCCTGCCTTGTTCCCGTCTCTACCCATATGTCTTCAGTGCACATTTTCACACGCCTCTTATTGAGATGGAGACGGTGCTCAGGATTCAGCTTTATTCGCTCAGTGCTGGTACATGTGCAACACTGTTTATAATTATGTTTATTGCCTGTAGACGTCTACTGAGTGTCCCCAGATTGTTGGGCTGTTTGTTTCCCAATTCCTGTTATTATAAATAGTACTACATTGAAAAATTAAGTGCTTGCCGTTCTTTTTATTCTCTTGAATTATATTCCTTAGGGCAAACAGTCACGAATGGTTAAAGGAAAGGCTCTGACATAACAGTTCTTTGCGACATGCTTTCACTAATTCATACTGCTACTGGCGTCTCACTTTAGCGCACACATTTCTTTATTAATTACTATCACTGGACACTTTGGCTTAGAACATTACAACATCTCATATAATGCTTGTGTTTGTTCTTTTATTGGTTTATTTCTTTTCTTTCTTTTTTTTTTTTTTGAGGCAGGGTCTTACATAGCCCAGGCTAGCTCCCAACTCTATGTAGCCAAGGGTGACTGAAATTTTGATCTTTTCCTTCACCTCCCAAGTGCTGGGATCACAGGTATGTGTTACCGTGCCTAACTCATATTTGGTCTTTAAAGTAGGTGGACTTTGGGGGGTGTGCTGTTTTTGAGACAGGGTCTTATGTATCCTAGGATGGTCTTGAACTCGATTTGTAGTTGAGAATGATCTAGAACTTTGGATCCTCTGGCCTCTACCCTCTCAGTGCTGGAATAGTGCCCAGTGTTAAGTAGGCATTATTTTCCCTTGCTGATATCAGTATTCAAAAGGTTTAGGTAGTGTGCCTAAAGTTGTAGAGGTAATGAGGATGTGGACTTGGATGCACTTGATCCCTGTCTATGAGACAGAGTGCATTGTCTCGGAGTCCTTGCATCCTCATTAATATCATTGGAACAAATCCATCCTGGGCTAACTTAATAGCTGTTAGATGTGCGCTCCCTGCTTTGTGTACCCCGTGACCTCTAGTCTCTATGTCACTTGTGGAATTCAGTGAGATCTGGTTCATTGGCCCTAAGCTCTGTCTTGCCAGTGTGCGTTGGCAGCTGAAGGGAGCGTCTGGGTGGCAGATGGCTTTTGGAAGCACAGAGACTCATGGATTCACACCCTTCAGTCAGCACGTCAGTCTTAGTCAATACACTGTTTGAGCCCCCAGGATCTGTTCAGGAGGAGGACAAGTGGGAAGTGGGTCTTCTTTTCGGGGGCTCCTCAGCCTGCTAAGGTGGACTGAGGCCTCCAGCAGCTGCAAGTGAGACACCCACGTGAGCATTTTCACCCTCTGTGTCAGAGGTTGCTATCTTGGGCCCTTCAGGGTACTTTTAAAGAAGCCCAAGTGGGTCGCTAGTGCTTAGAAATTTGGAGAATTCATATAAAAACTTGGATTTCTAGCCTTTTGAAAACTGAGAATCTGGCAATCTGGAATCTAGCATCTTCCAAGGCAGAGATTGATCACCAGGAACAGAGGGTACCCTGCCCCAGTGGGTAGGACACCTGCAATCTTGTTCACTAAAGTCTGAAGTGTCACTCAGCCAGTGTACCTTGAACTTGTCCTGTCCTTGTCTAAAGTCTGCAGGAGGGTGAGGAAACAGGTGCTCCTGATGAGCCTGAAGGATGGGAAGAAAGGTGAGCTGGAAAGGAAGGCAGGCTGGCATTCTAGGGACAGGAGTGATGTGGGCAGAGCTGGTCTTAAGAACCACTCTCACTAGAGCAAAGAAAACAGTGGTGTGTTGGCTCCTGTAGACATCCTGTGACAGTACGCATGGGCCAGCACGGCTTGGAGCTGAGTGTAGATCAGACTTCTGAATAACAAGGCAGGTGAGTGCATAGAACATTGTGCCCAGGTACATAAGAATGATGGATTAAACCAAACCACACGAACACCTGAAACAGGAGTTTCTCGGTTGGGTTGCAGTGGTGAGAAAACCTGTGTGTATCAACTGGGCTGGCAGCCGGCATCTTTGGGTGGCAGTGAGCAGTGACAGCCATGCTCCTATGTCCCTGTGGGATGGGACTTGGGTGTGTTTGCTTCTGGGGAGAAGGGAGCCAGTCAAGAGGGAGGCCTTGCTGTTGCAAGCTCTGAGATCTCTCCCAGCCCTATCGATGATTGAAGACATGCTACTTGCTTTGGCAAGAAAAGAGAGCTGAGTGGGAACAGAAACTCACTGTGTTGTGCTTGGAGCTAGCGTGACAGTTGTCACCCATGCACTCCTGAGTTGGGAGTAGCTCGGGCTAATGTCTGTGTATCTTTCTTGGTAAGGGGATGCCGATGTCACAATGATCTTGCAGTTGTACTTTATCTCCATAAGGGCCTAAATAGCTGTGTTTTCTCAGCTGCTCTGAAGGGAGCCCGAGGCTCCCTAGTGGAGACACTGTGGGTAGACATGCGAGGCATGAATCCACAGGTCACAGAGTCAGGGTGAGGGAGAAAGTATCCTTAGAAGCATCTCTGACTTCTGCCCTCTCAGATAAGACCACAGAACTGGTCAATGCAGACACAGTGCTGTGAGCCAAGCCATGTCCACTCCTGGATTCACTTTGGAAGCCTAGATTATGTATGTGTATGTTTGTGTGTGTGTGAGTGTGCATGCATGTATGTATACATGTCTATGGAGACCAGAGGATAACTTTGGGTGCTATTTCTCAGGTGCTGACCACCTTGTAATTTTTAAAAAGTTAATTTTTAAAAATATTTTGTTACATTTTATTTATTTCTTTTATTTAGTGGGTGTGTATGCACATGTACACTTGTACATCACACATGTGTGGAGGTCAGAGGACAACTTGCTGGAGTCAGTTTTCTCCTTCTGCCACGTGGGTCCTGTGGATTGGACTTAGGAGTGTCAGGCTTGGCAGCCAGCGCCTTTACCCACTGAGCCATCTTTGTCCAACTCTGTGTTTTTGAGACAGGGCCGCTCACTGCCTAGAACTCACCAGGTAGGCTAGGTTGACCGGCCAGTGAGGCCCAGGCATCTGCCTGTCTCTGGCTCCCTGGCTTTGGGATTACAACTTTATACCACTACAACCAGCTTTTTTTTAAAAACATGGGTTCTGGGGTTGAACTCATCTCCTCAGGCTTGCAAAGCGAGCACTTTTACAGACTGAACTATCTTCCCAGACGTCCCAGTTTCTTTATTTACAAAATAGGGACACATTTCAGGCCCCATGGAGTCATCTAGAGGCTGTGTAGTAGGAGCTTGCTTCCTTGCTGGGGTGGCTGTGTCCCCTAGGCTGGAGTGTGACTGTTGTTTTTGACAGTAAATTCTTCAAGGCCTACAGGGCAGGGTCATGGTAAGGGAAAGCATGGAGTTCTGGAGCTAGCCCATTCAGGTTTGGGTCTTAGCTTCACCACTGATTGCTCATGTGACTGTGGGTATGCCACCTAACCCCTATTCATCAATCTAGTGATAGCATTCATCTCATTGGATTTCAACAAGATTAAGTAAGATAAAACATTTTAAAGCCTCTAGAAAAATGCTCGACACTTCCAAAGCCTCCTAATATTAACTGCTATAATTATCATTGTATAACAGATTGTGTTTCCCTTTTGACTTTGGCAGCCAGGGAACTCACCACTGAATTTGTAGCTTGCCTCTACTAGCCAGGTCACAATGGCATGTGTCTTTCCAATCACTCTCTGCCTTACTGAGCTATTTGATTGTTATTTCTCTCATCATTCTGGTTTGTATATATTACTATAATTCTATATGTATTACTGTAAGCTGTCTTTCAATAAGTTTAGAATTAAAAAATTAAGAAAAGTATAGCAACAGGTTGATTCAGACCGGCACAATGTTGTTTAGAGTGATCTCAAACTAGGAGGTAAACTGTGCTAATTGTAACTAATTTTGCTGTATTTTGAGACAGGGTCTCATGTAGCCCAGGCTGGCCTCTGGAGTGTTTGTGGTGGCTAATGTTTTTTATTTTGCTTTCCATTTAATTAATTTATTGTGTGTAGGGGGGCATGTGCCTGCACATGTGGAGATCAGAGGACAACCCTCAGGAATTTGTTCTCTCTGTCCACCATGTGTGTACCTGCTGAACCATCTCGCTGGCTCAATACCTAACATTTCTGAAGGCTTATTTAAGCATGTTAGGCTTTGTCATGCCTGCTTTGTGTGTATTATTTTGACAGTCACAACCATCCTGGGGGGTGGCTATTATTTTTCCACTTTTACAGTTCAGGAGTTCAGGAAAAAAAGGCTCAGAGAGATGAAATCACTCAGGCAGTGGTTGCTGGCTGGCTGCAGGTGGGCTGAGCCAGGATTCAAACACACCCTGCCTCTCTTCAGAGTGGACACGTTTAACCCTGTTCAGTTCTGGGTTTCTGGGAGACCAAGGATTGATGATTTCTCAGAGCTGACTGATGCCCTCTCCTTGGCCCTCTTTCTTTCTTCCCACTTCAATAATCTTGTTTTCTGCTTTCTGGTTCTCCAGAGCCCATGAGGGCCCCCAAAGGCCTGGCTTTTGCTGAGATCCAGGCGCGACAGCTGACCCTGCAGTGGGAGCCCCTGGGCTACAATGTGACGCGTTGCCACACCTATACCTTGTCCCTTTGCTACCACTACACCCTGGGTGGCAGCCACAATCAGACTGTGCAGGAGTGTGTGAAGATGGAACGGGGAGCCAGCCGCTATACCATCAAAAACCTGCTGCCCTACCGGAATGTCCACGTGCGCCTTGTCCTCACAAACCCAGAGGGGCGCAAGGAGGGGAAGGAGGTCACCTTCCAGACTGACGAAGATGGTAAGCATGCCAGTCCGATGTCCTGAGCCCCAGTGTTTTGACCCCCAGGTGCCTCCCACAACCAGGGCCAAAACTAAGATTTATATGGGGATGGTAACTCAGCAATCATTTCCAGTACTCAAGAGTGTGTTAGAAGCCCGGTGTGGTGGCGCACACCTTTAATTCCAGCACTCGGGAGGCAGAGGCAGGCAGATCTCTGTGAGTTCGAGGCCAGCCTGGTCTCCATAGTGAATCCAGGACAGCTGGGGCTACAGGGAGACCCTGTCTCAAAAAGACCAAAAAAAGAGTGTGTTAGATTGGGGTCATTTCTTCCTGAAGGGTTTGGAAGAATTCATCAGCGAATCTGGGCCTGGAATTTTCCTTATGACATGGTTTTTAATAACAGTTTGCACTTGTGAAATAGATTTGAGTTTATTCAAATATGTGTCCACTTTGGTGTACTGTGTTTTATGTCTAAGAAAAAAAAAAGAAATTTCTTCATTTCACCTAAATTGTCAAATGTGTTGACATAAAGTTCTTTATAATATGCCCATGTTTGTTTAATATCTCTGGGATCCACCGCGATGCCATTTTTCATCCGTTATTGATGGCTTGTTTTTTTTCTCTTTCTCTTGTTTATTCTTGGTAGAAGTGTATACATTTTGTTCATTTTTCTGAAGACCCAGCTTTTGGCTTGGTTATTGCACAGTTACTTTCATTTTTATGGTTAATTTTTGGGTAGCTTACAAAGAAATGGGTTTCATCGTAACATTTTCACACACACACACACACACACATACACACATCATTATACTTTGTTCTTATCTGCCTCCCCCTCTGTCCTCCCCCATCTTCTCTTCCTCCCTCTTGCTGGTCCCCTTTCTTTATTGAATTCATTCTTCTGAACTTTATTTTTATGGTGCTGGGGATTGAACTCAGGACCTTGCCCATGCTAGGCAAGCACTCTACCCATCCCCAGCCCCTTTGAATCTATTCTTTAATGCTTTAAAGAAAAGAAACTTTATTTGCACATGCATGGTGCATGTACACGTTTCTGTGACTTTGTGCATGTGTGTGTGCAAGTGCATTGTAGGCTAGAGGTTAACATCAGGTGTCTCCCTCAGTTGCTCTCCACCTTATTTTTTTGAGATAGGGTCTCTCATTGAATCAGGAGCTCACTGATAGGCTAGACTGGCTGGCCATCAAGCTTCAAGGATGCTCCTGTCTCTGCTCCCTTCCTTCCCAACCCCCAGCCAAGCATTGGAGTTACACATGTGCACCACCACACCCAGCTTTTATGTGGGTACTGGGGACTCAGAGTCAGGTTCTTATGCATGGCAAACACTTAACTATCCCCTCAGCTCCAGTTTTAGCTTTTTGAGCCTTTATTCTAGCCCCCCCCCATTTTTTTTTTTTAAAACAGAGTCTTGCTATGTAGCCCAGGCTGGACTCCAATTTGTAATCCTCCTGCCTCAGCCTCCTCATTGCTGGGGTTGCCACTGTGCCTGCCTTGAGCCTTATTTCTAATGTATATGTTTAAAACTTTAAGTTTCTCTTTAAGCTTACGCTTAGCTGCTTTTGTAGTTTTTATTTTGTGATTGTCCTGTGCTGGGCAGGGCTTCAATTCAAGGCCTTGCACATGCCACGCAGGTGTTCTGCAGCACTGAGCTCTGTCCACAGTCCCCATATGTTTTGATATGTTCTATCTTCATTATCACTCAGTTACAAATACTTCTGATTGCTGTTATAATTTCCTCCTTGACTCAAAAATTATTTAGAATTACTTTGCTTAATTTCTAAGCAATTAGAATCTCTGTGGGTTGTGTGTGTGTGTGTGTGTGTGTGTGTGTGTTGCTGAATGAGGAAATCTAATTAATTATCTTTTCGTTATTGATTTCTGCTTAGTCTCCTGTGATCAGTGTAGGTACTCCAAATTTAGTCTTTTGAAATTTGACCCTTGCTTCATGGCCTAGCAAGTGGTTAAATGTTGGTAGATACCCCATGTATACTTGAAGAAAATTGCATCCTGCCACTGTTGGGTGCAATGTTCCGCGTCAAACCAGTACACACCAGGCACTTGCTCTATGTCAGACATCAGTCTGAACACTTTCCGTAAATCGATACATATAGTCCCTATGACAACGCTGTGTGGTAGGTTGCTGTTCCTGGTCCCATTTTACAGATGAGCTTGTAGGTGATCATTAGCAGAACTAGCCTATAAACCTGGCCATCTGGTTTCAGAATTTTCATCCTGGTTTTTGTTGATAGCTCTGATGCTAGAGATTGAACCCAGGGTTTGCACATGCTAAGCTCATGATTTACTATCAAGCTCACCCCCATCCCAAGTGATTTATTTTTAAGTTTTAAAATTTTTTGTGACAGAGTCTCATGTAGCACAGACTGGCCTTGAACTTGCGGCCCTCTTTGTGGCCCTCCCACCTTCACCTCCCGACTGCTGGGATTATAGGCATGTGGACCACACCAAGCAGATTGTCCATGTACTTCAATGCCAGCACAGGTTGAAAGCCTTCTCTGAATTCCTGCAGCTCAGCTGGTAGTTCTTCTTGCTGTTCTCCAGGTGCAGTTTTCTTTTTTGCACAATGGCCCAGATTTAAAATTTTTTTTAGCCATTTCCTTGGTTTTCACCAGACCCCCACTCACCCTGAGAGGTGTGCTTAGGGCAGGAGCTGAGCACTGGCTGGGATTGCCCTGAAGCATTGCACAGCCTCCAGTTAATCACCAAACCAACAAAACAGTGTATTCTTTTTTTTTTAATATCTTATTTCATTTTATTTTTATTTTTTATGTGTATGAGTGTATTGCCTACATGTGTGTAAGTTCACCAGTGTCTTGCAATGCCTGCGGAAGTCAGAAGAAGGTGTCAGATCCCTTGGAACTGGAGTTATACACAGTTGTTAGCCACCATGTGGGTACAGGAAATTGAACCTGGGTCCTCTGTAAGAGCAGTCAATGCTCTTGACCACTGAGCCGTATCTCCAGCCTCAAACCAGTGTGTTCTCATGATCTCTGTATCTTAGCCAGTCAGTCCCCCAAGGCTGTTGTCACACTGTCCCCTTCCATGCTGGCCAGGCCAGAGTGGTTATCGTAAGTTGTTAGTTCAATAAATTCCCACAGACTGAATACTTCAGGAAACTCACATCCAAATGAAAAAAATCACATCACCATCACCCGGGGGTCCTGTAATGCTTCCTCTGGTCACCACTTCCTAAAGGTAACCGTTTTTTTGTTGGGTTTGGACCTTGGGTAAAAGGAATCAGACAGTGAATATTCATTTGTGCTCAGTTCTTTCTTTAAACTTAATGCTTGGGAGCCCAGGCTGTGGTCTACATGGTCCTAAGGAATGAGTTCTTACTACTGTGTAGCTCATTTGAGAATGACTCTACCACATTTACTCAGTCTATTAACTGTTGACCATCTAGGTTGTTTCCAGTTTGAGGCTATTTTGAACAAGGCTGCGAAGGAAGTCCTTATCAGTTATTTTGGGTAGATCCACGTGTCCCATAGGTGTATGCACAAGAGTAGACTGGCTGTGTGCTCATCTTTAGAGTTAGTCACTTTTCCATTGGTCACATGGTTGTGCCAATTTATCGTCCACCAGCAGTGCATGAAAATTTGGTTGTTCTGTGGGGGCTGGAGAGATAGCTCAACCGTTAAGAGCACTGACTGCTCTTGCAGAGAACCCAGGTTCGATTTCAAGCACTTACATGGTGGCTAACAACTGTCCCTAACTCCAGTTTCAGGGGATCCAACACCTCCTTCTGCACTCTGTGGGAATTGCATGACACGGGTGCACTTGCATACATGAATGCAATACACTCATACACATAAAATAAAAATAAATAATTTTTTTTGGGTCTTTTTGAGACAGGGTCTCCCTGTAGTCCCAGCTGTCCTGGAACTCATTATGTAGACCAGGCTGGCCTTGAACTCATAGAGATCCGCCTGCCTCTGCCTCCCAAGTGCTGGGATTAAAGGCGTGCGCCACCACGCCCGGCCAATAATTTTTTTAAATAAAGAAAATTTGGTTGTTCTGTGTCCTTGCCAACACTTGGAATTCTTGTTTTCATTTTGCCATTTGGAAATGTTTGCTTTAACTGAGAGCTTAACTTTCAAGGGTTATTATTATTTTATTTTGGGGTGTGTGTGGTGTGTACACATGTGTGGTATATGTACATACAGATCTGCTCATCCATGCCTGCTTGTGTGGAGGCCAAAGGTTAATATTGGATGTCCTCCTCTGCCACTTTGCACACTATTTTGTTTATATTTTTTTATTTTTAAAATTTTATCTTATTTTTATGTCTATGAATGTTTTTGGTGCATGTATGTAAGTGCACCCATGTCATGCAGTGCCCATGGAGGTCAAAGGAGGGTGTCAGATTCCCTGGAACTCTGGAGATAAGGATGGTTGTTAGCCATCATGTGGGTGCTGGGAACCAAACCCAGGGCCTCTGGAAGAATATCCAGTGTTCTTAACTGCTGAGCCATCTCTCCAGCCCATTATTTTTAAAGAAGATAAATTTTTATTTTTTATTTATGTGTATGTGTGTATGTGTGTTTATGTGTATGCCATATGTGTGTAGGTACCCACAGAGGCCAGAGAGGGCACAGGATTCTCTGGAGCTGGAGTTACAAACTGTTGTGAACCATCTGATGTGGGTACAGGGAACCAAACTCTGGTCTTCTGGAAAAGCAGCAAGTGCTCTTAATCCCTAAGCCATCTCTTCAGCCACCTCCACCTTAGTTTTTGAGACAGGGTGTCACACTGAACCTGGAACTTTCTGTTTCAGCTTGGCTGGCTGGTCAGTGAGCCTCTAGGAACCCACCTGTCTCTGCCCCACCTAGTGCTGGGTTACAAATGTCTGCCACTAGGGGATCTGAACTCACGTCCTCATGCTTGAACAGCAGGTGTTTTATCCACTGAGCTGTCTCCCCAGCCTGGCTTTCACTGATTTTATTCTAGGTTACTCGGCCCCTGCCTGATGACCTCAGCTTCTCCACAATGGTTTGTCTAAATTTTTTCCCAGCCAGAGACTGTTTTTATCTTAGACAAGATCCCTGTGTTTGCTGCTGAGTGTATATTGCAGCCAACACCAAACTGAACCATGCCTCAAAGTGTCCATGTAGAAATTTTCACAGTTCTTATACATGATGAGATTGTCAGTGCTGCTAATTTTCTTTAGGTTCATTGAGATTGCTTATATAATTAGACATTTTTAGACAGGAAACATCTCTACCCATAATTCTGGCCCCCCTATTGTAATTGTTTTCCTTTCTCTGGTAAATATCTATATTTCACAAACTATTAGACATTCCTCTTGGCTGAATGCAACCTGCATGCTGTGAAAATGCCAGTTGCCCCTTGGGAGGAATAAGTTGACTCATATGCGTGGGCCATATGAGCCCTGAGCTTTGGGTGCATCATGTTATCTAGTCCTGGTCAGAGAGGGGCTGCGTCTTATCCATTTCATAGATGGAGAAACAGGCTAAGGAAGCAGAGCAGTCAGGAGGAGGCAAGGCTAGAACACGAACCCTGGTATTTGGAGCCAAAGCTCTCTTTCCTCTGCCTCTCCCCTCCCCTCCCAGTGCCTGGTGGGATCGCAGCAGAGTCCCTGACCTTCACTCCACTGGAAGACATGATCTTTCTCAAGTGGGAGGAACCTCAGGAACCCAACGGCCTCATCACTCAATATGAGGTGAACAGGGGTCCAGGTGGGAGGTGGGAGCACTGCGCTCCTTCCCTGTGACATGACAGAATGGAGAAGAGGCATATGGGAGGATAGAGGTGGACCTCGTGGCTCCTCCCATGATGGCCAGAATCTGTGATCTGTGAGTTCTGAGCAGGGTAGGGGGAGGCCCAGTGCATCTCCCTTCCGTAGAACACGGTGGACCTGGGGTCCTGAGTCAGTGACATCCATTCCTGTCCTGTGCCACCTACCTGCCCATCTCCTGCCCCCAGATCAGCTACCAAAGCATCGAGTCCTCTGACCCAGCAGTGAATGTGCCAGGCCCACGACGCACCATCTCCAAGCTACGTAATGAGACCTATCACGTCTTCTCTAACCTGCACCCCGGCACCACCTACTTGTTCTCTGTGCGTGCCCGCACTGGCAAGGGCTTTGGCCAGGCAGCTCTCACCGAGATCACCACCAATATCTCAGGTGAGCCCTTTTGGGAGGGGACCTAGGAGCTCAGAGTTCCAGGGATATTGAAGGTCAGGGCAGTCTAGGAATGGGTACAGAGGACCCTATTGAAATAAATGTGCCACTTAGGGGCTCAAGTCAAGGGTCAGCGAGGATTAAGTCAGAGGGGTATTGGTGGGTGTTATCAGAAGGTTGAGGTCAGAGGTCAGTGTCTAACGTCAGGGGCCAGGGACCCTCAGGTCAGAGGGAACATGAGGCTAAGTCAAGGGGGTTAGAGGCCTTCCTGGCCCAGTGTCCCTGTTCCATCCTGTCACTGTTTCTTCCCAAGCTCCCAGCTTTGACTATGCTGACATGCCATCACCCCTGGGCGAGTCTGAGAACACCATCACCGTGCTGCTGAGGCCAGCGCAGGGCCGTGGAGCACCCATCAGGTAGGGAAGCCTGTGTGGAAATGGTAGGGAAAAGGCCTCTCCTCTGATGCAGCCAGCTCCCTGGTTGCCCTGTCTTCTACTGGGGCTTAGAGTGGAAGAGAACATTCTGTGATTCAGGACAGGTGGAAAGTCTGAAGCCACCATTCAAAACTGGTCTCTGCTGTGACTCTCATGGGTTCCTTGGACAGTGTCCATCCTGGAGAAGGGACTGTCTTGGCCTCTCCAGGGGACTTCCAGTAGACACTTTGGAGAACGGAAACTCTTGGGGCCTTGACTTTTCCAGCTCTCTTCCTATAGATAGAGAGATGGACTTTCTAGAAGGCTAGGGCAGCCAAACTGTTATGGCCATCTTTCTGGGGTTGTGGAAGCTGGGGCCACCTCTGCTGGGGGAGGTGCTGGGGTACAGATAGGGTATACGTGTGAGTAGGGTCATCCCAGGGTTGCCATTGGGATGTGTGTATGCTGTTTGTTTGGTATGGAGATGTGAGTATGTGTAAGGGGTATGAGTGTGCATGTGTGTGAGACCATGAGGGTGTTCATGTGCTGAACCGTGTGCAGTGCATGTTTAACCTCACTTTACATGCTGGGAAACTGCTTGTGTTAGTTCTATGTTGCTGTGATCAAACACCCAAGCAAAGCAACTGAAGGGAGGAAGGATTTGTTTTGGCTCATAGTTTCAGAGGGTTCAGATCACGGTTGCCTGGCCCCATGCACTTGGGCAGAATAGCTGGGTGGTGGGAGTGTGTTTGGGAGTGGTTGCCTTATCTCGTGGCCACTGGGAAGCAGAGAGAGAGAATCCCTGGGTTCAACTGGCCGGCTTTCTCCTTCCCCTCCTTTTATTCTCTCTGGGCCATCAGGCTATGAGATGGTGTCCCCCACATTCAGGGTGGGTCTTCTACTCTTAGTTAATCTTCTTTGGACACGCCCTTGCAGTACACCCAGAGATGTGCTTTACTAATCTAAGTGCTTCTCAGTCTGATCAAGTGCCAGGCATGTTGACCATCCTAACCTGCAAAGCCTGTTTCTCTGTCACAGAGCCTCCCTGCCCTTTGGGTCTCCTTCAGTTGGGACTGTGTTTGGGGGTGGGGGGGTGTCCCAAGAAGGTAGTGGGTTGTCAGGTGGCCCTAGGCAGTCACCTGCCTTCTCAGCCCCTCCTTTATCATCCTGCCTGCTGGGTCTCCCCAGTATTTGCCATTGCAGCCTACCTTGGGCCAACTCTCAGCTCTTTAGGGGAGACCCAGGAAAGCCAGGGAACCTGCAGGCATTGAATTGTTTACTGGAGCCTCGGGGTCCTTGTGTGGTAGGAACTGGGAGGACTTGGGACATTTCTTGCTTCTGTGTCCTCTTGAGGGATCCTGTGAGCTGGATTAACAGGCTAGGTGGGAGCAGGGAGATGGGACGTGGTGGGGTATGATGAGGCAGAATGGCTGTGTGACCCTGGCAAGTCCCTTCTATTCATTTTCCTATCATGGACATCATTCCAATTCATGACTAATGTGAATTGTTGTCACTTCCTGAGAAGACTTAGGGCTGGGGAAATGGAGGTTGAGAGGGGCCTGGACCAATGTTTGTTAGCGGTTTAGTAATAGGCAGTGAGCTGACTCCCTCTATCAGAAGCTGGAAGGAAATAGCCTGAGGGAAGGCAAAAGCCCCTGCTTCCCTTGGCACAGGCTAGTAGGCAGGATGTCACACACTGAGCTGTGAGGGAGGCTGACACAGAGATATTTAAATGTGTCAACCTCCACTGGTTCAGTCTGGTTTTGTTCTGCAGCATTTGGAGGAACTCACAGCCAAAGCCCCTTCAGTGAGGCTCTAACATAAACAGAACTGCTGAGGGCAAGAGGAGCAGGGACACGGCAGAGCAGGAGGGCAGGTCCCCAGATGATGGGCTCCAGTTTGCCGGCAAGAGGCTGCCTTACAGTTCAAAGGACTCCAGACAGTAGCACCAGGGACTCCCTTGTTTGCTTAGTGGTGGTTTCTTTCCCACTGGGGGACAGTTAGTTCCAGGAAGCCCAAATTGCTGAACACCTAGTACAGGGCTCCACACTTGATCTCAGTAAACACCCTCTGAATGAATAAATGAATGAGTGAATGAATGCGTCTTCACCCTATTCATCACTACCCAGGCCAAAAGGGGAACCATTAGTTGTTTCAATGTCCCATGTTCTGTGACAAACACGAAAGGAGGGGCTAGAGAAATGGCTCAGTGGTTAAAGCACTTGATGTTCTTGCAGAGGACCCAGGGTTGGTTCCCAGCACCCACATGACGGCTAACAACCATCTGTAATGTAACTCCAGTTCCAGAGGCTCCAACGCTCTCTTCTGGCCTTTGTAGGCACCACACAATGTACATTTATATACATGCAGGCAAAATACTCATGCACATAACATAAAACACACACATATACTCACACAAATCCACAGAAGTGTTCATTAATGAGTTCTAGTGGGCCTTGGGGTTTGTTCCCACTTAGCAGGGCTACAGTTCTCTTAAGCTTGGTTAGTGGCAAAAATAACTATGGACACTCACTAGCAAGTGCCTGTTTGTATCAGCACCTGGATCACTCCCATCTTACAGAGGCCCAGGAGGTTCAGTGAGTTGCCAAGCGAGAAAGAGGCAGAGTTAAGGATGCTCTTCAGGTGGGGCCTGACCCCAAAGCTCACGTCCTTCATCCCCTGAAGGCTGTCTGGGTCCTCTGTGGTCACTTGTACTGTCTCCCTGCCCAGCATTTACCAGGTGGTTGTGGAGGAAGAGAGGCCGCGGCGGTTGCGACGGGAGCCAGGCGGTCAGGACTGCTTCCCGGTGCCTCTGACCTTTGAGGCAGCGCTGTCTCGTGGGCTGGTTCACTACTTTGGAGCTGAACTGGCGGCCAGCAGCCTGCCTGAGGCCATGCCCTTCACCGTGGGTGACAACCAGACTTATCGAGGCTTCTGGAACCCACCGCTTGAACCCAGGAAGGCCTATCTCATCTACTTCCAGGCAGCAAGCCACCTGAAAGGGGTGAGGGACCAGCTGGGTGTTGGTGGGGTAGGCTGGAGAAGTGGGTGGCAGGGTGAGGAGGCTTTAGTGAGGCCTATCACAGAGGCCTGAGGCAGGGCCTAGGCCCTTCCACAGTCTCAACTTTCTTTCCCATGCTGTTCTCTGTCCTCTGATCTCACTGGTCTTTTTTCTTTTTCTTTTTGGTCTTTTTGAGACAGGGTCTCTTTGTAGCCGTAGCTGGCCTGGAACTCACTATGGAGACCAGGCTGGCCTTGAACTCAGAGAGATCAGCCTGTCTCTGCCTCCCTCACTGGTCTTTCTTAAGGCATTTCCTATCTGTAGACCTATCTCCTTTCTGGCCTCAGGGTCAGACTGCTAGGTGGAGTGTCCTTAGTAGTTTGCATCTGATTAGCTCTGATCAAGTCCTGGCCACCCTGACTGGGGTTCTTGTCCTGGAGAGGGTAGGTTTGGCCTTTGGTGTCCCTGAGCCTTTTCTTCTGTGCTTCTAGGAAACCCGACTGAACTGTATTCGAATTGCCCGGAAAGGTGAGTCAGCTGAAGTGCCTTCAGCCCTGCCCAGGCCTGGCTTCTCAGCTGTGCCCTTCTAGGGAAGCTGATCCTGAGGACCCAGGTCTGTGGAGCACAGAGCTGAGGTTGGCAGGGTCAGGAAGGGCTTCCCTTTTTCACCCCCTTGGTGCCCACCTCAAGAGCGCCTTCTCCCAAGTTGGACAGCAGGTAGCCTCCTCTGTCCTCCATACTCCCCACAGTCATAGAAGGGACTCTGACAGAGACCAGGGTCCAGCCTACAGAGGGAGAACCATTGAGGTGGTGGTGACTGGATCCTGGTTTTAGGTTCTGTATCTGTTCCTTTTCCTGTGGTGGGAGAGACAAATGGGGCAGGTTGGGAGCCTATGGTGTAAGGATCGTCCCTCTTCTGGTCACGGATGTGATTGGTTACATCCTGGGATGTGCCAACTGGCACGAGTACTTTCTTCCCTCCATCATCTGGAAGGAGGGCAGGAGGGGAGTCTTAAAGCCCTAGGTGTCCCCCATTCCCTAGGTGAAGATCCTGAGGAGGATCTAGAGAGGTGGAAAGGAGGCAACCAGGCGGTGGGGCGGGGAGACTGACGTCATACAGAAGGCTGGCTCGTGGTTGAGGGGCAGGGTGAGGGGAGATTGAAAGGCAGAAGACCAGGGCAGTGCTGAGCTCAGCACTGAGGGGGTGGCCTTGGTGCATGGCCTTGGTGCATGTGTGTTTGTACAGCCTAGTCTGTACCCTGGGGCTCAGATCCCTGCAGGGAGGGCTGGGTGGTTCCTGTCTTTTCTGATTGTCTTGTTCTGATTGTTTTCTTCTTCGAAGCTGCCTGCAAGGAGAGCAAGCGACCTCTAGAGGTGTCCCAGAGATCAGAGGAGATGGGTCTCATCCTGGGCATCTGTGCAGGTGGCCTTGCTGTCCTCATCCTCCTGCTGGGAGCCATCATAATCATCATCCGCAAGGGGTGAGTGACCCTGGTGTCCTGCCCCACCAGGAACTCCTGTCCCTCAAAAAGTCCTTCTGGGCACAGAGGAGCCATGGCTGGGCTTGGTAGGGCAGCCTCTTGGTGATAAAGTATGTAAAGGGCTGCCAGCCTGGGCGTTGGGCCACACTGGACACTGGACACACTGGACACACTCTGGCCAGTGGGAGCCAGAGACTCAGCAAAGGGAACTACTATGGAGCGCAGTCTGGCTGGTGCCAGGTGCCACTATCCAAGAATGGGCACTTTGCCTGGTGCCTAGGAGCTGGGCTGGAAGCAGGAACAGCCCTCCTTTGCCTGCAGGGTCTGTTCCAATAGGAAGGTGTGGAGGTGACCTGACTGTGACTCCTCAGTCCCCTGTGACTCCTCAGTCCCCTGTGGCCCTGTGGTCCCCTGTGTCTTCCTTGACTCTGATTGTACAGGCTCAGAGTCCCAGAATGAGAGAGCTTCCAGGGAGTTTGAGGATATCTGTCTAGTGATTAGAATAGTTTTAAAGCAACAGAATCTGTCTTCAAAGCACCAAAAATGGGCTGGGGATGTAGCTCAGTTTATAGAGTGCTTTCCTAGAATGCACAAAGCCCTAGGTTTGGTCTCCAGCACAGCATAAACTAGGAGTGATGGTACACATCTGTAATCCCAGCACTCCAGAGATGGAGGCAGAAGGATCAGAGTTCAAGGTCATCCTTGTCATCCTCAGCTACATAGTGAGGCCAAGGCCTGCCTGGGATACAGGAGATCCTGTTTCAAGAACAAAAACAGAAACAGCTCAGAGCCCTAATACAAGCAAATACAACCTTTCCTCCTAGAGCCTAGCACATGAAACAGAGTTGGAGGCAGGATGGGGGCTTCTGAGAACTTTCTGCCTGCCACTTCCATACCACCTCATTCCACTACCCCTCATTCCAACTAGGCAGCTCTAGAATTAAGGTAGCCCAACCACCTTAATTGAGGCACAGGGATGCTGAGCCCTGGAGGGGGCAGAGGCCCTACCTAATGTCACCCCCGGAGCCAGAGGCAGAGCTAGCATCATCCCTCCCCATCTGGGTTTTGGCTTCTGTAGCCCCTATTGCTGCCAGGCTGGGCATACATGGGCAAGTTGGCATTGGCTCTCTGGCCTGCCAGGAGCAGATAAGTTGAATCCATGGAGGTGGCAGAGAGCTGGTTTGGCCAGCTGCAGTAGAGACATTATGTGCCAGTGGAATGGAGGTTTTGTGGGGAGATGGCCTATCCCCATCCTCAGGCTCTGTTTCCCTTCCAAAGTTACTGTGCAGCATCTTGAGACACAGTATTTTTAAGGATCACTTAATGAGGAATGACTGCGTGCCAGGAGTGTTAGCTACTGAGTACCTGAGATGTGCCAGGTGAGGTTCTGGTGCTTGGGATCCATCTGAGAACATGTCCTTCTTGGATCCTGACAAACAGTAGTTCTGATTCTGTTTTCACCAATGGAGAAGCTATAATTAGAGTGAGCTGTCCATGCCTCTTGGTTGGTGGTAGGGCTTGGTTTGAACTCAGCCTCACTATAAAGGTGAAGGGCCTTATTGTAGGTTCCCTACCAATGGCTGGTCTCTGCATTTTCCCCAACAGGGACAAGAGAGGGAACTCAATTACGGGTGTAGGAGATTGTAAGTGGCGGCTGTTAGAGGGTATTTGAAATCTGCTCTGGTACTACTCAGGCCTTTGGGAGCCACTGCACACCTCAGGGCCTCCCCATTTTGCATTGTGGGGTATGTTGGAACAAAGTAGCTCTGGGAATGACACAGGTACTCAGATCAGATTGGGATACAAACAAAATGGACTAAGTAGGAGGTACAGCACCCATCCCCAGGCCTGATGGGGCCTTGGGAGGGAGCACAGGGGCAGTTCCTGAGCCAGGGTTCGGAAGCCTGGTGACTCTGGACATTGCCATGACAATTGGTGACTTACTGTCCTCATTTGTGCAATGGGAATTCTTTTTCAGTGCTGGAGATTGGAGCCTGAGCCTTGAGCACACTAGGCAAATGCTGTACGTCTGAGCGACAGTCAGCTCAGTGCTGGGCTTTCTGTACAAGCTGTGCTTTGGGTGGACCCTAGGAAGGTTACTTAGTTCCTCAGTGAACCCCATAGTCAGAGTCAGTCAAGCGGGGAAAGGCAGGCTCTAGGTTTGCCTGGGCATCCTACTGGGGCCTCTTCACCCTGCCCACCCCTGTCCCCAGCCATTCCTTCCTAGGTTGAGGTCTATGCACAGGGCTGCCCACTCAGGGGATTTGGGGGTTGCTGGGATGAACCTGAGGGTGGGGGCTGTCTGCAAGGATGAGAGCAAGCCTGGATGGGAAGGTGCCTTTGAATGTGTATGTGCTGGCATGTGTGTGTTTGAATATACAGCTGTGTGTGTTAGTGTGTTCATATACGTATGTATATATGTGTCAGTGTGTATTTCTGTATAGGAGCGTACATATATGTGAATGCATCTGAGTGTGTCTGTTTATGTGTGAGTGTGCATGAATGCATGTTTCTCTCTGTGGGTGTATATGTAACTGCAAAAGCTATGTGTCTTTGAGATCCTTTGCCCACTTCAGCAGCATGCTTGGGGGAGGTTCTCGAAAGGCTTCTGGTCTGAGTTCCTAGTGTCTTGAGTCTGGTCGGTCTTGAGACTAAGGAAGGTCCTTTGACCTGTCTGGTCCCTGGCCAGCTCTTTCCCAAGAGTGGGGAGCCCTAGTTCCCTGCCTGCTGGTGCTGTCCTTGGCCTAGCCTTTCCAGGAAGCCTGGACACACTGTGCCTTCTCTTTGCACGCTGCCAGGAGGGACCGCTATGCCTACTCCTACTACCCGTAAGTAGCTCTGCCCCAGGCACCTGGGGCCTGTCTTCCCTACCTCTTTTCTTACTGGCTGGCTGGGCCGGGGTCAGCCCCTCTCCATGGCCTCCTCCTCTTCTTGTCCTTCCTCTTCCTCAGCGCTGGTTTCTCCATCAGTCAGCTGGCCCTGCACTCCTCCCCCAGCACCCTGTAGGTCATGTCACCCTCCTGGGCCTCAGTGACCTTTCTGCACTGAGGTAGGCTCTCACCTGGTGCTCACCCTCTGAGCCCCAGGCTTCCTCCCCTCTCACTGGGGTCTCTAGAACTGAGGAGGCCACTCCCTCCCTATGACTCCAGTAGATAATTTTTGAACCTAAATCCAGAACTTATGAATTGAATGATCAAAAGTTATCATCAAAAGTGTATGTGAATTGAATTCCATCTATCCCATCTCAGGATGAGATCAGCCAGAGGCCAGAGGAGTCAGGTGTCCTTCCTGCCCCCACCCACACTTGGCCTTCTGTGGATCTAGTAGGTTTGTTTTGTAGTTTTCCAAGGCAGCTAAGTGTCCCCGGCTGGGAACAGAGCCCTGTGGTACACCACTGGAGACTGCATTCTAGGCCAGTATCCACTCCCTTAAGGGCTCTCTTGGGTCTTTTTGTTCAGCCAGCTTGGCAGGCTCTTTTCAGCCTCCACTGGGGGCCCAAGTCATTTCCATGTAGGCCTCTTGTCCCTTCAATCACAGAGCTATGTCCTCTGCCTCTCTCTCTCATCTTCCCGGAGTTCCTGGGGAGTCACAGCCTGAGGCCTCCCACCCATGAAGTGCTGAGGGGGAGAGACTGCCGTCCCCTCCCTCTGCTGCTCTCAGTTGCAGGCTGGGCAGGTGGGCAGTGGTGGGCAGGAACTGCACACGCTTCTCTCTGCCAGCCTGGGTGGTCCATGGGGCTATCCCAGGACTTCTGGGACTCAGAAGAGCCAGTGTGGCCATGTCCTGGGAGATCACTGAGCTGGCAGAGCAACCCCTGGCCCTCAGAAGGCCAGGTTCTTCCACTGTGGGATGGAGGGAGTGTCCAGGCAGAGCTCTTGTGAGAGGTGGGCATGGCTGGGGTTGGATAAGGGGGCTTTAGTATTCTTGTGGTTTTGTGGTGCTGTGACTCTGTGGTCAGCTGATCAGGCCTGGAGTGAACCTTATCCCTCTCCTGAGACCTTGGAGGCAGGAGGGTGAGAAACAAGGTCCCAGCCCAAGGCGGCTAGTGTCAACCATCAGGGGTTGGTGAGTGAAGGGCACAGCCAGTGATGATTCTGGAACACCACTGGCTCCTGACCCAAGGTCCTGAGTGCTGGGCTTTCCCTCCCACCTCTGGGTGCTGTTGTTATCCCACAGTGCCAGTGTCCCTCATCAATTCCCTCCACAGGAAGCCAGTGACTATGACCAAGGCCACTGTCAACTACCGCCAGGTGTCCTGAGTGCTGGGCCTCCCCTCCCACCTCTGGGTGCTGTTGTTATCCCACAGTGCCAGTGTCCCTCATCAATTCCCTCCACAGGAAGCCAGTGACTATGACCAAGGCCACTGACAACTACCGCCAGGAGAAGACTCACATGATGAGTGCTGTGGATCGCAGCTTCACGGACCAGAGCACCCTGCAGGAGGAGGAGCGGCTGGGCCTGTCCTTCATGGATGCCCCTGGCTACAGCCCCCGAGGTGAGTACCAGCCCTCCCCAACCTCAGGCCCACCCAACATAGGAGGGAGCCACGCCACCTCAGATGAACTCTGAGACACTCTAACCAGAGCATGTATTGTGTGCCTACTGCATACCAGCCCTGGCCTGGAAATCCGGAGAAGGGACTGTGGTGTTTGACTGCAGTGGAGGAGCTTGGGAGGATCCCTGCCAGCACAGCAGGGACATGAGATCCAGGGTGACAGTCATCAGGGAGCAGGGGCTGCTGCAGGTCAAAGGAGATGAACATAACCTCACACATATTGAGCTCCTACTGTGGGCAAAGCAGGGATCTAGTAGCTGGGAGGGTGAGGACCATCTTGTAGTCACACAGACCTGGGCTGGCCTCTGTGTACCTGGGACAAGTCATATCACAAGACAGCTGTTTCCTCACAAATTAAATGGGAAGGAAGGTTATCTCTGCTGGTTAACTCATCCTTCCAGGGCTGCTGTGAAGCCTAGATGAGATAGTGTGTGTGAATCACTCAGTGTCCGAGTTGCCAGAGCAGAGCCAGGTGTGAGTTCCTAACACGCTTCATCTCCCATCTTTTTATTTTATTTAGTATTGATTTATGCAAAAGAAAATAGGCAATGCTTCTGAAAGTCAAAACCTTAACAGTAAGAAATGCTGCCACACCCTACTGGCTGCTTAGAACACTAGCCCGTTTTCCCTTCTCAGCTGTACCCCGACCACCCTCTTACACATAAACACTCCCGAGACTTGTATTTATAATCATCTGGCCATTTTTTTTGAAAAAGAGATTTATTTTTTATTATGTGTATGGATGTTGGCATGCATATATGTATATGTACCACATGCATGCAGAGCCTGAGGGTGTCAGATACCCTGGAACTGGAGTTATAGACAGTTGCGAGCCACCCTGTGGGTGCTGGGAACTGAACTCAGGTCCTCTGCAAGAGCCACTGAGCCATCTTCTCAGGTCCACTTACCTGGCCTTTCAAGGACAGTTTTACCATGTGTGCATCTATCCCCCCGAAGCAGGAATTCATTCATTTTCTGGCTTTATAAAAAACGAAATTGCACTGTGCTATTGCAGTCGGCGTCACGTCGCTCTCACTTGCCCATGCGGATGTTTTGCTCTGCAGTAGTTTATCATCCTGATGCACAATTTTCCCGTCGTGTTTTTCACCCATGGCTGTTCCGTTGACTTCTGGTTTCTGCTGAGAATACTTTTACACAAGTCCTTAGGTACTCCTGCATGTGGGTACCTAGAAGTAGAACTTGTTGGATGATGGGATTCACATTCGTTCAGTTTAGTTCCAAAGTGGTTTTGCTTCTTTCCCCTCTTAGAGTGGTGTGAAAGGCTTTTTGTAGCTCTACATCAGTATTAAAATTCACCAGCCTCCTTCCCTTTGCGGAGCTGGTTTGTATAAATGGTGATTTTCTATAGTCTTCATTTGCATTTCTCTGAGTGCTAATGAGGTTGAACACGTTTCCCAGTCATTATTGGCATTCAGGCCTCTTCCTCCGTGAAATGCCGGTTCACGTCTTTCACCTCATTTTCTGTTACTTTTTTGTTGTTGCTTTCTTAGTAGTTTTTAGGAGTTCTTTATATATTCAGGATAATAATCATCTGTCACATATGAATTGCAAATATCTTCTCCCAGTTTGTAGCTCATCTTTCCAGGTTATTTATAGTGTCTCTGCATGAACAGAAATGTTTTTATTTTAATGTACTCACATTCATCAGTCGTTTCCTTTTGTGATTTCTGCTTTCTGTGTTTTCTTTAAGAATTCCTTCCCTGGGGCTGGGGAGATGGCTCAGTGGGCAAAGCGCTTGCTGTGCAAGCATGAGGACCTGAGTTTGATTCCCAGAACAAAATCCAGGAGGGAGAGCCATGTATATGTAATTCCAGCAGTGGGGAAGGGGAGACAGGAGGATCCCCGGAGCTCACTGACCAGCCATTCTAGTTGAATCGGTGAGCTCAGTTTCTGGGTTGGGGGCTTTTCACCCTGTTTTGGATCTGTGGTTTTCTCACCCTGGCTTGGGGCCCTTCGAGTCCCAACATTTATCCTTCGGCTTCCACGTGCATATCCACACATGTTCACATATGCCTGCACACACATGTACACACACAGAGATACACAGAATTCCTTCCCTACCCAACCCAAGGTCTTTATGCATTTTTTTTTACCTTTTTCCTCCCTCAAACTTAATTATTTTGCAATTCACATTTAAATCCTCTCTGAATTTATTTTTGTGTATGGTATGAATTAAGGCTTTTCTTTTTTTCCTCACAGGGATAATGAATATCCTTGTACTCTTTCTTTTTATAAAAATTTAATTTTTAAAATTATTGGTGTGTAGCCAAGCATGGTGGCGCACGCCCTAAATCCCAGCACTCGGGAGGCAGAGGCAGGTGGATCGCTGTGAGATTGAGGCCAACCTGGTCTACATAGTGAGTTTCAGGCTTGCTGGGATTACAGGGGGACCCTGTTTTAAACCAACAACAACAACGAAACAAAACCAAAAACAAGCAAAAATTATTGTGTATGTGTATGTGTGCACGTGTGTACTCGTGTGTGTGTGCATGCATGTACTCATTCATGTGTGTGTATGCTTGTGCCATGGCATGTGTGTGGAGGTCTGTGTGTGGAGGTCAGGACAGCTCTGTGGAATCAGTCCTCTTCTTCCTCCTTTATGTGGGTTCTGGGAATCAAACTCGGGTTGCTGGGCTTGTGTGGCAAGTGCCTTTACCACCTCACCCGCCCTCCTTTCTTTCCTGACTTACCACTCCTGTTGTCTGTCCTGGTGATTGGGTTCCGGTTCTCTCTCTTCAGTCAGTTTGCTGATCCCTGTACCAAAACCACTGTACTTACATAGCTGTCTGAGACTTTGATGTAACTGATGTTGGACACGTTAAGCCCCCCTCTTTGTTCTTCATGATTTTTGTCCTAATTCTCTTTGTTATAAATTTGAGAATCCTATTTTCAAGTTTGTTGAAAAACCTCACTACTTGGATGCATCCTGAATCCATAGATCACTTTTGGGAGAACTGAGGTTTTGTAAAATTGTCTTTCCATCCATGAGCATTTTATGTGCGCATTATATGTCACCACACTCATTTAGGTCTTCGATGCCTGTTAGTGTTTTCTCCATGAACTGTGTTAGCTGTATCCTCAGCTCACTTATTTACTTGATTTTTGGTGCTGGGGATTGGACCCAGGGCTTGGTGCATGCTAAGCATGTGTTCTACCATTAAGTCACCCATTTTGTCTCTTACTTAAAGATTTTAAAATTACGTTTATTGATTGATGGATCGATTGTGTGTGTGTGTGTGTGTGTGTGTGTGCATGTGTGTGTGTGCACACATACCACTGCACACACATGGAGGTCAGAGGACAACTTATGGGAGTTAATTCTCTCCTTCCACTTTGTAGGTACTGGGGATCGAACTCAGGCCATCAGGCTTGGTGGCAAGTGCCTTTACTACTGAGCCATCTTGCCAGTCTCAGTCCTCTTATTTTTCTCCCTCTCTCTATTCTTTCTTCTTCTTCTTCCTTTTATCATTGCCGGGTCACATGTAGCCCAGGCTGGCACTTAACTCTCTGTGTAGCCAAGGACTACCTTGAACTTCTGACCGTCTTACCCTCACTTCACCTGTGCTGGGATCACAGATGTATACTACCATGCTCAACTCAAAATATGACATGCCGTATAGACCAGGCTGGCCTGGAATTCAGAGATCTACCTGCCTCTGCCTCCTAAGGACTGGGATTTAAGTTGTGTGCCATCACACCTGGTGCAGATGAGTTTTTGCTATGTGCATTGATCTCACATTCATCCTCCTAGACAGACCGTCTTAGGAATTCTAGTTTACCTTTCAGGTTTTCTGAGTGTAGCCTGAGGACCTGCGGATAGCAGCACTTTTGTTTCTTCTTACCCTTTATTTCCCCAGCTTTCTCAACAGCACATGTTATGTTATGTTATGTTATGTTATGTTATGTTATGTTATGTTATCTTATCTCATCTTATCTTATCTCACCCTATCTTATCTTATCTTATCTTATCTCATCTTATCTTATCTTATGATGTTATGTTGTATATTAGTAGTTCTCACAGCAATCTTTGTTTTGTTTTATTGACTTTAAAAGAATGCTTCTAATATTTAACTGTGAGAAGAGTTTGCTGCAGCTTGGGGGTAGAAATGTTTTTTATGAGGTTAATGAAGTTCCTTTCAAGTTTCAGTTTGCAAAGTGGTTTTTTTCTAAGCAGTCATTACATTCACCAAAGCTTTTTCCCGTACTTACTGTGATGATCATGTTTCCCCTTTCATTTGTTAATGAAGTAAATGACATCTTTACATTTTCTAATTTAGTGTGTTTGTTCAAGATTTTCAAGTGGCCTTTCTGAGTGGGCTTGGCTTGTACTTTGTTGTATACTTTCTCTGTCTGGATTTTGGTATCAGGATTTTCAGAGAACCCTTGGGTGACAATCTTTTTTTTTTTTTCTTTTGTAAACTAAGATAAAACCTGTTTTATTTCAATAAATTAGTCTAGACAGTGTTGGAGGAAGCATATTATTGCTGGTCAGGGCAGTAAGAGCCTCTCCCATGCTGCCCACATGTTCCTACAAGCTCTTTTCTGCTGCTCCAGACAGCTCCACCTTTGCCATTATCAAGTTCAGGTCCTCCCTCTTGGTTGTGAGCAGTTCCTTCTCCTACCCCTCTTTGGCCCTTTGCTCCCTGGCTGTCTGTGTCATGATGACAGAGCTGTCTCCAGATTGAAACTCTGGGCTTCCTTCTCTGCATTTCCAGTGACCCACTCCAGGTCAGCTGCACTATTGTGATGTATCTGTGGCTTCTCTGAAGGCCACTCTGGGCTACTGGTCTCTGTCTCTAACTCTACCCCATGTCTCGCTGTGCTGTGCTATGTTGCCACATAGACAACCGCTTTACAATTTCTTTCTTTCTTTCTTTCTTTCTTTCTTTCTTTCTTTCTTTCTTTCTTTCTTTCTTTTTTAATTAAAAAAATATTTTTTTGGTCTTTTTGAGACAGGGCCTCCCTATAGCCCCAGCTGGCCTGGAACTTTGTAGGCCAGGCTAGCCTTGTACTCAGAGAGATCCACCTGCCTCTGCTCTGCAGTACTGGGATTAAAGGTGTGTGCTACCACACATGGTCTTGTTTTTTTTTATTTTAAAAAATTATTTATTTATTTATTTATTTTATTTTTTACGTGTATGTGTGTATTGCCTACATGTGTGGAAGTGCCCCTGTGCTGTACAATGCCCTCAGAGGTCAGAAAAGGGCATCAGATCCTCTGGAACTGGAGTTACAGATGGTTGTTAGCTGCCATGTGGATGCTGGGAATTGAACACTGGTCTTCTGCAAGAGCAGCCAGTGCTCTTAACTGCTGAGTCATCTCACCAGCCCCTGGTTTTTTGAGACAGGGTCTTGCTATGTAGCACTGGCTGTTCTGGAACTTGCTATGTAGACCAGGCTGGTCTCAGATTCACTGAGACCTGCCTGTCTCGGCCTCCCATATACTACCAAGTTTAGCTACAATTTCATTTAAAAAAATTGTGTGTGTGTGTGTGTGTGTGTATGTGTATACTTGTTAGTGTGGTATGTGCACATACATATGTGGGTACATGTGTGCATGATTATGCCTGGGTATGGAGGCTAGAGGTTGATGTCAGGTGTCTTTCTCTGACTTCTGTCCACCTCTATGTGTTCGAGACAGGCTGTCTCACTGAACGTGTAGTCACTGAGCATCAGGGGTTTGCCTCTACTCACTCCACCTCTACAGCATTGGGGTTACAGGGATGCGCTGTCATGCCCAGTTGCTTATGGGGAGTGATAAAGATCTGAATTCAGGTCCTCATGCTTGTCCAGCAAGCACTATATCTACTGAGCCATCTCCCCAGTCCCTGGGTGACAAGCTAAGGGGTGCCAGCTATGAACAGGCTGGTCGTCAGGTTGGAGCATGAGGTGGAGCCAGAAGCTCAAATCCCATAGGGAAATCCACTGGCAAAGAAAATGGGGACCCAGCTTCTATAAGCCCAGGAAACCGAGAGTCATCCTGGGAATGTCATGACACATGTCCCTGTCCTTTCCCAGAGATTTCATTTACTGAACATCTTGCATTATTCTTGGACTCAGCTGTACGTTGCCTGGATTTGACTTTGACTTCCCATCAGGGTCTCAATCTGGTCCTCAGCCATCATAAACGGACCAGGCACCTGTGGGCTGTTCAGGATCTGTAGGATGTGCTGTTGCTCTCCTGTCACCCTCTTTCTACCTGGAGGTCTCTTAGTGAGCTGTTGGTTCTGTGCCCACAATGAAACTTAGGGTTCCTCAGTCTCTTTGCTGCCCTGAGTTCTTTGAGCCAGCAGAAATCCGCCCTTCCTCCTTGTTTGAGTGTCAGTATGCATGCGCCTGTGTCAGCATGCATTTTGGAGGCGAGAGGTTGACATTGGGTGTCTTCCTTAATTGCTCTCCACCTTATTTTTTGAGACAGGCTCTCTTACTGAACCTGGACCTCACCCGTTTGGCTGTACAGGTTGGCCAGTGAGCCCCAGGGATCCTCTTGTTACTGCCTTCCCAGTGGTGGGATTACAAGTACATGTCCCTGTGCTTGGCTCTTTTATGTAGGTACTGGGAATTGAACTCAGGTCCTCACGTTTTCTGCAACAAACACTTTACTCACTGAGCCATCTCCCCAGTCCCAGAAACTCTTCTTGGAGTTTTGCACATCCTTGTCTCATACAGTATTGTGGCTGCTTCTTGGAACCAGCCTTAAAGCTGGACCAGTGTCTCACAGTGGGGAAGGAACAAAACTCTAGTTAGCCTGCCGCTCTGGCTTTCGAAAAGGGATTCATAGACTTCCTCTCCTTCCACTGTCATAACAGTGACAGCGGCTTCCAAGGGCAACGATGTTGCGTTACAGGCTCTGGTGCTTCTTACACATTATCTTGTTTTGTTTTTAAATATTTTATTTATTATTTTTATTTTATCTGTATGAGTATATTGCCTACATGTATGTGAGTGCACCCATGTTGTGCAATGGTGCAGAGGTCAGCGAGTGCTTCAGATTCCCCTGGAACTGGAGTTAAGGACAGTTCATAGCTGCCATGTGAGTGCTATGTGGGAATCGAACCTAGATCCTCTGCAAGAGCAGTTAGTGCTCTTAACTGCTGAGCCATCTCTCCAGCCCCCACATTATCTTGTTTAATATTTACACCATCATATTGGCTAGCATCAGTTTTTACCTTCATTTGACATGAGAAAATGGAAGTTTAGTGGACTAAGTAATGTCCCCAAGGTCACACACAGAGCTGGGGTTTAATCTGAGATCTGCCTGACTCTGGAGAATTCTGTCAGTCTCCACACTGTACTGTGGCTTCCAAAGGATGTTTCTTGAAATAAACACAAAGAGGCCTGTGTGGTGAAAGAGGGTTGTGAGGCATCCTTACTTGCATTTATCTTTTGGAGATCTAAGATGCACACAGACGAGCTGGAAGCCTCAAGAGGTCTTCCAAGGAAGAAACCTGTTTATTTTTGTTTGTGACAGAATTTCACAGACTTTCTTAAAACACAGAAATCCTCTTTTCCTTGTCTTGTTATTATTATTTTTTGGTGTGTGTGTGTGTGTGTGTGTGTGTGTGTGTGTTTGTGTGTTCAGCCGTGTCTGCAGGTGGATGGGTATGCACACATTTGTACTTGCAGTAGAGTTCAGAGGTTGACATCAGGGGTCTTCCTCAGTTGCTTTTCCACCTTATTTTTTGAGACAGGGTCTCTCACTGAGCCTAGCCTAGACTTACTGGTCAGTGAGTCCCCAGGATCCGCTTGTCTCTGCCTCCCCAGGGCTGGGGTTACAGGCACGGGCCACTATACCTAGCTTTTTATATGGGTGCTGGGGATCTGAACTCAGGTCCTCATGCCTACACAGCAAGCACTTCATCCATGGAGCCATCTCTCCAGCCCCTCATCTTCTTTTTAACAGAGGGCTACCCAGTCATCTTGCCTACCTATTATTTTCTAGAACATATTTTGGCTACTATGATACAAGACCTACTTGAGGTCTCTTTGGACCTCAGTTTTCCTATCTGTAAGGTTAAGGGTATAGGGTTTCTGACTACAGTGTTATAACTGGTACTTGACTAGCTTGTCAGCTGTAAGCAATTAGAAATACAAGAAGCAGTTGTTTCCAGTTGACCGGGGTTCCTGAGAGGACAGAGGCAAAGGGGGAAAACCCTGCTGTGGTCTTGACTTTCAACCTGGAGATTGTTTTCAAACCTTCGCACAGGAAGCCCAGGAGACAGTTTCCTTGATATGGCTGGGTTTTGGGGTGTGGCCTGGGCACCTTGTATTCATCCTGCCAGTAAGCATAGTCCAGTGCCAGAGAAGACCCCTAGGGGGTCATTTTGGCTGAGACCTGGAGGGAGGGTATGACGTTATCAGGAATAAAAGTAGGGGGAGGAAGGTGTTGAGACAGAGGGAACAGCATGTGGGAGGCCCAGGGAAGGAAGAGCAGATATCTGGGCCCCACTTTAAGACCCCCAAGGCCCCTGCTGGCCTAGGTCTGGCAGGGAACAGCTCTGAGAAATGTGGAGGACAGGCTTTGAGTCAGCCCTGCAGCCTCTCCCAAGAGGAGGTGGGGGACGGACTGAGTGAGGGTCCCAAGTGTAAACGACAATGGCTGCTTTCAGTTCTAGATGTCATCTCCAGAGTGGGATGTCCTGGGGGTGCTGATACCAAGAGCTGGGGAGGGGTGTGTCTGTCTGTCTGGCAGGGTATGGGGGTTTGTGGGGGCCCCCTTGTCTGAGCCACTGCATTGGCTCACAATGGAAATGCTGGCATAGGAGAAACGCTTCTATTCAGGTGCCTGCGGAGGGGGCGGCTGCACAAGCTAATTTCAATTTGCTTATTTTTGAATGGGGGTAATTGCTGGGAGTTGCCAATGTTCCAGATTGTTCCCTGAAAGAGGAGGGGGATGTCTGGGGTTCTGCTAGTGCTGCCTGTGCAGGTTAAGCAGTGAAACCTCACAGAACAGAGTGCAGACATTTGCTAGATCACAGGCTGACAGGGCCACAGGACCCTCGGGTCATCTGTGTTGACTCATATGTTTCATAGATGGGACCTGAGATTCAGAAGAGAAGGGCTTGCCCTGGGGTCACAGAGGGTGACCTGGCTAAGTTTGGCTCTAAGGAATGATCTAGCCCTCCACATTGGCTGTGCTTCTGCTCCCCACTCTGCCGGAGCCCATCAGGGGCTGCCATGGTGGGCATGCATGTGTGTGAGAGCCCCTTTCCTTTCCTCTGACTGCAGGAGACCAGCGAAGCAGTGGGGTCACTGAGGCCAGCAGCCTCCTGGGGGGCTCCCCTCGACGCCCATGTGGCCGGAAGGGCTCCCCATACCACACGGGGCAGCTACATCCTGCTGTACGTGTGGCTGACCTTTTGCAGCATATCAACCAGATGAAGACAGCTGAGGGTTATGGCTTCAAGCAGGAATATGAGGTGTGCACAGCCTGGCCTGGCTGGTTCTCTGTCAATCCTCCTCACAGTGGCAATCCTCAGTCCAGCCCTGGTTGGACCCCTTACTCTATCTCCAAGTCAACCTAACCCTTTGACCTTGACTCTGTCACTAATCTCAGACTGGCCTGGCTCTCACTGTTCCATCTGGTCTCCACCCATGATTCTTCGCCTGTCTCTAATTGTAGCCAGATGCACACTGACCTTGACTTAACCCCAGTCTGACATTGACCCCTGACTCTCACCTCAGTTCCCTGAGAACTCTGCTTAGAGCTACCCTTCATCTGGACAGGACCACTGCCATTCCCCAATCTTAATCTTTCCTTGCCTTTCTCTCATTCCCAGCTCAGATCAGGATTTGACCCTTCTTTTTTTTTTTTGTTTTTTTTGAGACAGGGTCTCCCTGTAGCCCCAGCTGTCCTGGAACTCACTATGTAGACCAGGCTGGCTTTGAATTCACAGAGATCCACCTGCCTTTGCCTCCCAAGTGCTGGGATTAAAGGTGTGCACCACCATGCCGGGCCCTAGGATTTGGCCCTTATTCTAAATTCATTCTGTACCCTAAACTGTCTGTGAGAGAAGACTCTCCCTCTCCTTTGCTCATTCCCCTTCCTGTCACACTCCTGTGCGACAATCTGGCCCTTACTGTGCCCCACCCCCACCCACCTGCATCATTCTCCTTGGAGGGAAGAGGTCCTGAGAGTGTTGGGGTCCCCCCTCCCACTGACTACCATTTTCCCTTTCGGCAGAGCTTCTTTGAAGGCTGGGATGCCACCAAGAAGAAAGATAAGCTCAAGGGCAGTGGCCGACAGGAGCCGATGCCTGTCTGTGAGTCCTGGGGAACGGACTGGGGCTCAGAAAGGTGGGAGGGAGGAAGTGAAGAAGGGGGAGCACGACCCGAGTGTGCTCTGGTCCTGTCCTCAGAGAGCTAAGAGCCCTGGCCACCACGTATGAGGATGCATAGCATCACACCATTGCTTCTTCAGCTGCTCTGTGACTGGGAGGCAGTATAAGCCCATTATAGACAGGAAGCTGTGACTCTTCTCAAGGTCACACAGCTGCTTGCCCGAGAAGCATAAGCCCTTGGGCTTCTTCAACTCCATACTCAGACTCTAACCCTGGTCTGGCCTTGTGGTACCCAGAGCCTACTGGTCAGCCCCAAGCCTTTAGGTCAGCCTGCCAGGACACTTCCCCCAGCCTCCAGGAAGCCTTCCCTGCCTGTCCAGCTCCAGACTGCCTGGCATGGCTCCACCTAGCTGCTCTGTTTTTACAGATGACCGGCACCGAGTGAAATTGCACCCAATGCTGGGAGACCCCGATGCTGACTACATTTCTGCCAACTACATAGACGTGAGTGCCTGGCCTCCCCTTTCTGCTGACCTATACCTGTCCCCTCCAGCCTCACTGTCCAGGCAGGGCAGAAACCCACCAGGGAATAAGTGGGGGTCTTCATAACTGAGTTCTGGGTGCCCCTCAGCTTGCATCTGGTGCCAGGGAACTCAGATGGATGGTGGCTTTCAGGAAAGGTCTGAGGGCTGGACTGGCCTGAGAGATGGGGAGGGTAGGACAAGGTCTGAGGGCAGACAGACATGCTGAGGGAAAGGAGGATCTGTCTCAGTGAGGGGTGCAGAGCTTGGAGGTGGGATTCTCAGGATATACAGAGAAGCTAAAGAAGCAGGCAGGGCTGGGTGGTAAAGGCCTTGAATGACAGGCTTAGGGCTCCAGGCCTCTTCTCAAGGCCACCAGGAAGTTGTTCAAGTGTGATCACAGAGATCCTTCAAAAAGAACTATGTATATTTATTGAGCATGTACTGTGTGCTAGACACTGTGCTAAGCACTTTACATTTAATTTCCAGTTTTATATAACACTATGGTCATCCTACAAGGCATAGCCTCTCTTTGTAGGTGGTGTTCAGAGAGGTGAAGTTATTGGCCCTAGATTACATGGCCAGGGAGTGGTAAAGAAAGGACTCAGACTCTAGCCTGGCTGTCCCTACAGCCTCTGATGCTCACCATTTGATTGTCCTGATACCCACTGGATCTAGCCGGACTAGAGGGAGGGACCAGAGAGGGCAGGCGGCCAGGAGGCCTGGGCTCTGGTGTGAGTCTGCTTCTCAGGTGTGGATGGCAAGGGCTGGTGGGTACTGGGTAGGGTACAGGGATTTAACTACATACCTTGCAACAAGCAGAGACTTTTGAGCACCTGGGCACCAGGGTTAGAGATGAGAATAGGAACACGTGACTGAGCTTTATTTTATTTATTTTTTTGATACAGATTTGAGTAGGGAAACAGATTAACATTCAAGGAGACATATAAAGAAGTTAACTTCAGATTAGATGGGAAACACAAGCGAAAATGGGGTGACTGTCAGGATCACATAACCAGTTAGTGGTAGAGCCAGGGCTGGGTGTGTAGACTATACGGAGACAGCAGGGATAGAGTTCCTCCAGGTGCCTGTGGAGAAGAGAGAGGGACACCCAGGTAGGAGCAATTAGGGCAGAGTCCCAGAGGGAAGCCACAGTGTACCAGGGCTGAGGTCATGAGGACCTCTGGGGACCGTCTCTCCTCTCCCTCTTCCATCTTCCTCCTGGAGCCGGACGTGTCACCCTTGTTTTCCAGGACCCTTTGCCTTCTCCCTGCGTCCCATCCTGCCCCTTGCCAGGGTAAGAGCCAAGCCTGGCCTCATAGATTTGGACAGCTTGGTGACAGTGGACCTTTCTCATCAGGTCCTGGTCAGTTTCTCTTGGGCCCTGATAGGGACATCCCCCACTCCCTTTCTCCACCCGAATCTGGGCCACCTGTCTCTGCTCTGCCTGCCAGCTCACATCACCCTCTCTGGCCTCTCCTGTGCCCTGTCTACCTCCACCCACCTCTGGCCTAACATCTGTCTCTTTTGCTTTGTTCTGTTCCCTCACTGGAATCATTAAGATTCGGATAAACAGACAAGTAAGTATCTCTCCCCTCTCCTCTTCTTCCTCCTGTCTGGTGGACTGACTGTGTCCAGGGCTCTCTCATAGACTCTGGTTGCCTGTCTCTCTTTTTCTTTCCTTCCCTCCTTTTCCGTTCCTGCGTACCCAACACCAGCCACCCATTCCAGCAGCTTGGCCAGCAACTACAGAGGGGTAAAGACCCAGTCTCCTCCCCTGGGAGAAGTTCCCTCCTGTCCTCCACTACCTGGACAAGGACAGTGGTGTTGGGGTGCTGTCCCAGCCTGCTCGGCACTGGCCATTGCTGTCACTCTCATCCCTCTATCTAGCCATTCCCAGTGAGCATCATTAGCTGTACCTTCTGTGGGCCCCTCCATATATATAAAGGGGAAGCTGCTGGGGGTGGGGCTTGTCTCTGCTACCTAGAGGTCAAGGTCTTCAGACAGTCCTGGATCAGTCCTCCTAAAACTTATTTCCCCAATGTTTATATCCCTTTATGATCAGTTTGCTTAAAATTCAGCATCAACCAATTTCCTCTCAATTTAGCCCCAATTTGAATGTGTGTATGTGTGTGTGTGTGTCTGTGTGTGTGTGTGTGTCTGTGTGTTTTAAGTAGTTTGGATATCAGTTTAAAAAGTTTTATCATCTTTTGATCTTTTGAGCATTAAAACAAGAACTGAGGTAGCTCAGTTGGTAGAGTGCTTGCCAAACATACATGAAGTCCTGAGCGGTTTCCAGGACCAGCACCACGTGAAAACTGGGTGTGGTGGTGCACAGCTTTCAGGAGGGGGAAGTAGGAGGATCAGAAGTTCAAGGTCATTCTCAGCTATACAGTGGGTTGGAAGCCAGCCTGTCTCAAAATAAGTAAAATAAATAAATAAATAAAATAAAACCCCTAATTCATTTCACAACATTTTGATTTTATTTTTAAACATGTTATTTTCATAATAGTTATAATTGTTGTTATTGCTTTTGGTTTCTTAGACAAGGTCTCACTCTGTAGCCAGTCAGCAGTTTCCTACCTCAGCCTCTTTAGTGGTGAGATTTTTAGATGTGAGCAGTTTTCCTATGATTTAATGGCTGATATTCTCTATTATTTTATGCTACATTTTCTATTTTATCTCCTTTTCCCTTTAAAAAGATAAAAATTAGCTGGGCATGGTGGTACACGCCTGTAGTTCCAGCACTTGGGAGGCAGAGGCAGGTGGGTCTCAGTGAGTTCAAGGCCAGCCTGGTCTACATAGTGAGTTCCAGGACAGCTGGGGCTACAGGGAGACCCTGCTTCAAAAAGACTAAAAATCCCCCCAAAAAACAACCAAAAAAAACCAAAACAAAAAAAGATAAAAATTATTATTGCTAGAATTCTGTTCATTATCAGACTTTCAGACAACACAGAGAGACTAATGTGAAGGGCAGGGTCCCCCCAGTCACATTTGGCAGAGACAACCAATTAATTATCCCAGATGTGCCCCTTATTTTGAGTGCATTCACAGTTTGTAAGGTTCTCAAATGTGAAAGGACCATTAGGCTCACAAAAGACAGCAAATATGCTAAGTCTTAGCGCCCCCTGTGGGTTGTAATGAATATAGGTCATTACAGGTCTTATGATTGTGGTTTCCCTGCAGTAAACAGTCTGCCTTTGAGTCCAACCCATTTGATTCCCTGTTGTCAAGATTCCTAAGAAATACCTTTAGAAGACTCAGCTTAATGCTGCCTCAGATGAACACAGTGAATATTTGTGTTCCTGATGGCATCTTGAATACCTTGAATTGTTTAATCTCCACTGGGCTGTGCACAAAGGAGGGACCACCTTGACCAGCATTTGACAGAGGGGAGTGCTGAACCTTAGGAAGGTGAAATGACTTGTATAAGGCCACAAACTAGTTTCAGTGCTCAAATTTCATACTCGACGGTGGTCTTGTCCTTGGGAGCATCGGGATGCCCTGGGCTCGCCTACAGTGCAGACTCCAAAGGCTCAGGTGTGCAGAGAGCGAGGTCCTTGCAGCTACAGTGCTTCCTGGGGCATGAGGTCCAGAGGTCTCCATGTTGCTCTCTAAAGTGGGTGTGTGCAAAGAGGTCTGCTTGCTTTCCTTTAAGGACTGATAGTTTAAATTTCTTTGGGGCTCGGGGATGGCTCAGTTGGTAAAGTCCTTGCCATGCAAGTGTGACAACCCAAATTCAGTCCCAAGAACCCATGTTAAAAAGCCCAGGGTGGGGGCTGGAGAGATGGTTAAGAGCACTGGCTGCTCATGCAGAGGACCCAGGTTCAGTTTCCAGCATCCATGGCGGCTAACAACTGTCTATAACTCTAGTTCCAGAGAATCCAGTGCCCTTTTCTGACCTCTGCATGCACCTGGTACATTTACATACATGCAGGCAAAACACTCATACACATAAAATAAAAGCAAATGAAATTGAAAAAAAATCTTTGTATGGTGACACATGCTTGTAATCCTGGCACTGGGGAGGTAGAGACAGGTGGATTTCTGGGGCTCAGCCAGCCTAGCTTAATTGATGAACTTCAATCTAAAGAAAGACCCTGTTTCCAAGGAGCCTTCCTGAGGATGGTACCTGAGGTTATATGAGCACATGCACCCTCCCCAACATACACACCCCACCCTCCCACCTGCACAGGTGCTTACTCCTACACATGAACATGCACACAAGCACAACATATACTCACATTCATTAAAAACCTATTTGTGTCCTTTGTGTAATCTAACTGTGCAGTAATACATATACTTATTTAAAAAGTGAGGGTCTATGGGCTTGCTCAGCACACCTGTTGCCAAGACTGATCACTTGAGTTGGATACCTGGGACCCATGTGGCAGAAGGAGAGAAGTGACTCCTCAAAGTTGTCCTCTTGGGGCTGGAGAGATGGCTCAGCAGTTAAGAGCACAGACTGCTCTTGCAGAGGACCCAGGTTCAATTCCCAGTACTCACATGGCGGCTATGAACCATCCTTAACTCCAGTTCCAGGGGAATCTGAAGCCCTCTTCTGACCTCTGCGGCATTATATGACATGGGTGCACTCACATAACACACACACACACACACACACACACACACACACACACACACAAAGTTGTCCTCTGATTGCCACACAGGTGCTGTGATATGTGCACATGGAGACACCCCCCCACAATAAATAAAAATGTAATAATTATTTTTAAAGAGGTGAACATGCAGAAATTGTGAATTATCTGCCTAAACACATGCTTCAAATAGGGCTGTGACAAAGTAGATTGGATGACCCACCCCTGCCAACGCCATACTTTCTCCAAAAAAAAGCAATGTCTCTGAACAATGAAAGAAAAAGACTCTGGAGCAGAAGAGAAACATTTGTAATAGAGCTGAAATTTAGACCAGCTAATCACCGGGAAAATTGATTATTTTTTTTTCTCCTCCTTTTGGTGATGGGGTTGGAGCCCAGGCTCTCCCACATACTGGGCATGAGCTCTACCCCTGAGCTAGATTCTCAAGCCCAACCGAGATCAGTTTTAATTGAGTCTCATCCCTCTATTATTTACTGACTGATGCTTGAGTGCTGGCAAGGAGCCGGGAGTGGGGGTGGGGGAACTGGCTGAATCTGGTGATGAACATGTGCCCAGGTGAGGCTTTGGCAAACTGGTTTTGCTCGGAGCTGGCAGGATGGGGATTTTCTGTTCCTGACCTGACTGCTGCTAAGCAGAATCAGGCCCTGGCCTTCCCTGTCTTCCACCTCTGCTGATCCCTCTGATCTGCTGCTAAGGACTCGCTGAAGAGCAATGCCGTGAACAACTGGAGTGAATTGGGCTAGATGGGAGCGGCTGCCAGGAGTGCGGCTGAGGGAGCCGAGGGGGGTTTTCTGTTGTTAGTCACTTTGAAGGTGTTTTGACTCTTTCCCTGGGGATGGTGAGGAGATGTTGCTGTTAGCCACAGTTTTGAGTTCTATTCCTGCATTATTTACTGACTAATGTTTGAGTACTGGTCCTGCTGGGTGGGCCTGCTACCAGGGACTCGGGTCCATTAGACCCAAGGCTGGAGTTTCTCGTCCCTTAGGCGATCAGCTCTCACCCCAGCAGTTCTTGACACCAACACTGTTTGGATCTTCAGAGACCTTTGAAACAGTGCTAACAATAACAGTGACTGTTGTTTGGCCTGCTTTGTGCTTGGCATGGTGACAAACACCACACACCACTGTTTTTACTCTTATCACAGCCCTGGGAGGGAAATCTTGTTATTATCTACTTACAGATGTGAAGATGGAGGTCCAAACAAGCCAGGGGTGTTCCCCTGAGGGTGGCTGAGATTTGACCCTGGCAGTGGAGCATCAGGGTCCTCTAGGCTCTGGAAGCCAAGGGCAGCGTTGAGGGCTTGGCCTTGAAACCAGGGGCAAAGCTTGATGGCTTTCTTTTGCACCTGCCCCGACATACTTTGTAAACTTTCTATGCTGCCTGCAGTAGTGTCCTGGCTGGCTCTTATCCCAGAAAGCTGAGGCCTTTTGAGGGACCTTGGGTGACTACGTCCCTGAAACCTCAACTCATTACTCTTCTCGACTTGAGAGCTTTGGGGATGGAGGATGAGGTAGTTCTGGGATTTTCTTTCATGTAAGATAAGACAGGTAGTGTTTAGCACAGTATGGGACCACAATGGGGCCTCAGGAAAGTTCATTATTATTTAACAAAATTGATTTTAAAGTTTTATTTAAGGGCTGTTTTCTTCCAACTTGAAGCCTTCTTTAAGACACTCTCCCCACCCCCAAACTCCAGGTAGCTGAGCTCCTTGGGAGGGTACTGTTCACTCCCCATGAGAACTGGAAAGGCTGCCAGGCTCTGGTTCTCCCACGTCTGGGGTCCAGGGTGGATTAGGTTTCTAGGGCTCTGGGAGCAGCACAGCATCATCCTGGGCTTTATTTGTCTCCAAACAGCAGCACTGTTGTAAGCAGATAACTCTCCTACTTTGAGATGGGGAGATCTGTTAGGCTCACAGATGAGTGTCCTCTTTAGGTTCTCACTGCAAGTCCCTGGTGTCCCAGCTGTGAAACTGTGATTAGAACTGCAGATTTCTGAGCATTACTTCCCTCTGCCTTGGGGACCGAGAGGACAAGGTCACCCTGATCGGAAGGCATAAGGGCAGGCGGTTCCCTGCAGGGTACTGCTACAGGAAGGAGGGCAATGGGGGGGCTGCGGTCTGAGAGTAAGGGGCTGTTCCCTGAGTACTCACCACGCCCTCTTCTGTTCCAGGGCTACCACAGGTCAAACCACTTCATAGCCACTCAAGGTACCCAGCCCCTCTCTCAGTTTGTGGCACCCTCCCATGTGCTGGAATACCTGCTACCTGCCTGTCTACCTTCCCTGCTGACCAGCTTGGCTCCCTGTCTGCCTCCCTGCCTGTGTGTTTCTTTATCCCTACTCCTTGCCTGGGACTTTCACATCTGGCTTTAGCCTTCATCCCATCTCTGTATCTCCTGATGTGGTCAATCCATCTCCACAACCTGGCCATGTATGTTTCTATGGTGATGCACGTACACGGCCTGGCCAGGTCCCATTCTCATGGGTGTGAAGAGTGCCTTTTGGTCTAGTGCCTGCCTGGTCCCCTCTGGTCCCTTTCCTGCTTCTGTCCCTCCATCTATCGCCTTGGAGGTTTGCCCTGCCACCAAGGGTCTGCCCTACATACTGTTCACTGGACCTTACTCAGCATACCAGACTCTCTCCAGCTTGGCCCTGCCCTGTTATGTGCACCCCAGGGCCCTGCAGGCATGACTCAGTGGTTGGTGGGATGTATGTGGGGGTGAATGAGAATCCTCGGGGAACCTCTTGGCAAGGGGTGATATCAGCAGGTACAGGGTGTGCTGGCCATGGTGGACCTTGCTCAGGGCCAGGTACCCTCTGCACCCCCAGGGCCGAAGCCTGAGATGATCTATGATTTCTGGCGCATGGTGTGGCAGGAGCACTGTGCAAGCATCGTCATGATCACCAAGCTGGTAGAGGTGGGCAGGGTAAGTGGGGCCAGGGATGGGGCAAGTTGGGGGTAGGGTGGGCCACAACATGTGCCCAGGAGCCCGCTGAGCCCTGTGCTTTGGGGGCTGCAGGTGAAGTGCTCTCGGTACTGGCCAGAGGACTCAGACATGTATGGGGACATCAAGATCACACTGGTGAAGACAGAGACTCTGGCCGAGTATGTGGTGCGCACCTTTGCCCTGGAGCGGGTAAGTCTTCCCCATGCCTATTCCTGGGGGAGCCTACCTTCGTCCAACCCAGGAAGCATGAGGGTGAGGAGGGAAAGAATGCCTTTGGTAACACTTGCTGGGAGCATGGCTGAGGTGGAGTGGTGTCTCTCTCTGCTGGACTCTAAGATAATGGGGATCTGATGGCTGTCCTGTGTTGTTCTCTGGTATGTGGGAACTGTTGTATTGTCTTAGCCCTGGAAGCTGTGGGGAGGTGTTTACCCCCATTTTGTTCAGCCCCATTTTGCAGATGAGAAAAATGAGGCTCAGAGGGTTTCCTCATGCATTAGCGCCTACCACTGTTCCACCTAATCACTCTGTAAAATCCTCAGAGGAGGGCCAATGAGATGGCTCAGTGGGTAAAAGTGCTTGCTGTGAGAGCTTGATGACCCTAGCTTGATCCCTAACATCCATGGTAGAGGGAGAGAATCAACTCCTAAAATTTGTCCTTTGATCCCCATACGTGTGCTATGGATGCATATGCCCCCACTAACACAAAACAGGCACACATATATGATAATAAAATAAAATCTTTTTTAAAATTCCCAGAGGACACAGTTGTCCCTGTAGAAACTAAGACCAAAGTCATAATGTTCTCCTGTGTTTACATAACAACTCAGAGGCAAGAAAGATGTTTGATAGCATAGGTTTAAACATCTGGTCAACCCCTGTCCACATGTACAGCACATGTCTGTCCAGCCTCAGCAGAGGAGATTCTCCTCTCCAGGCCTTGGTTTCCTCATGGATAATGGATGTTGATACTGACTTTGCCATAAAGGAACAAGATGCCCTGGTATACAGCAAGTATCTAATAGATGCTGCCAGTGACTGACTGTTACCACTGTGGTTTCCACAGAGAGGCTACTCTGCCCGGCACGAGGTCCGCCAGTTCCACTTCACGGCGTGGCCAGAACATGGTGTCCCCTACCATGCTACAGGGCTGCTGGCCTTCATCCGGCGTGTGAAGGCCTCTACCCCACCTGATGCTGGACCCATTGTCATCCACTGCAGGTGGGGCCACTGGGGAATCCCAAGATGAGGGACCAGGGCTGCGTGGGGTAGCTTCAAGGTCCCTAAGGAGGATTAGGCCTGGGTTTAGCCTGCTTGGAGACAGAGCCCCCCACCCCCAACACACACGTAGATCTGGAAGCGTTGGCTCTGAGGTTGGCACACCTGTAGAGAGCTTTTGCCAGAGCTGAGGATTCTTGGAGCCTGGAGGGGGTCCCAGGGGTGGCAAAGTACCTGGCATGATAGAGTCCTGCCTGCTTTGTTCATTGCACATCTGCTGTGTGCTAGGCTTAGCCTGAGGCAGAGAAGGATTCACCTTCTCCTCATACCCAGTGGTCTCTGCTTGGCCCTTTACCTTCATGCTGATCTGCAGCCTGACCTTCACCCCACCCCTTTCATCCCTGGCTCTTGCTGGCTCCTCTTCTGCCCGCCCTGCTTCCCCCTCACTCTACATCTCCCTCTTGCTTTTCTTCCTGGAGCTCTTCCCCTCTTGGGCTTCATAGGTCCTATGGGCCTGCAGGCCACAGTCCCTATGGCTTGTCCTGGCTCCTCAGCTCACCAAGTGTCATGTGGCTGACCCCTTCCTCTGCCCTGAAGGCCAGCTTCTCCTTGATTTCCTCAGGCCTCTTTACAATACCATCTTTTTTTTTTTTTTGGTCTTTTTGAGACAGGGTCTCCCTGTAGCCCCAGCTGTCCTGGAACTCACTATGTAGTACAATACCATCTTTTAAAAATAAATCTAAACTGATACATAATGCACTTAATGCAAGGTATAGTTAAATCATGAACAATAAGTGTACATGTACACTTATGATGGTTCACTAACTGAATGTACCTGTAGCTCTACTCAGATAAAAAAAATAAAGCACTGGGGGTGGATGGGGAGATCTGAGTTTGATCCCTAATACCCATGTACAAGGTTGGGTATAGAGTGCTTATAATTTCAGCACTGGGGCAGAGGAGCCAGGAGGATCCCTAGGGCTTACTGGCTAGCAGCCTAGCCTAGTCCTCGAGCCTGAGGTCCCCATGAGAGACACTGTCTCAAAGGAAAGTGTACAGCACACAAAGAATGACACCTGATGTTGATCTTTGACCTCCACTTATTTGCACACCTATGCATACATATACCCACTCCCACATGTGTACAGCCCCGCCCCCCCCAATTAGATTAAAAAATAAAAATAAGTAAATGCGAAGAACCCTGAGCTCAATTTTGGAATGTTCCCTGCTCTCAGAGCTATCACTACCTACCTTCTCCCCCATAGGCAGCCTTTCATGGTCTTGAATATATAAGTCAAGTTCCTCATATATAAGTTGAGTCCCTCAGTGTGAACTCTGCTGTGTGACTTCCTTCCCTTCACCTTAGTGTGTGAGTTCCATCCTCTCAGCATCACCTTCAGGGCAAGTAGACTCCGGTGTATCCACCCACCTACTGTTGCTAGGCATCTGGTGGTTTCCAGTCAGGACTCTCAGGAATAGGGGTGATAAAATAAAATGACAGCACTCAGAACATTTTAAGGCATGGCTTCTGGTCAGGAAACACAGGCTTCTGTGGGCCATGTGAGGAGTGGAACTGCGGTTTATGAATGTTTAGCCTTAGTGGAAGCTACTCAAGTTTCCCAAAGTTCTTGTGTGATGTAAGTGGGGTAGCCCTCAATAACAGTTGAATGCCACCATTTTCAAAACTGAACTCTTAGTGTTATCTTTCCAACCCTCCTCTCTGTTAACACTGGTCACGCATGTCAGTAATGAATCTTGAAGGAGGAGCCAGGGAGACAGCCACATAAACATGGACCTTGTATCAAAATGTGTTTTAATGAAAGCTGGCTGTGCTGCTCTGAGAGCTCTAAAGAGGGCCATCTGCTTGGAAGGGCTGGAGGCTCCACCGGGGATGTGGGTGGGCATGAGTGCATGGGGTTTTGAAGGATGTACAGGAGACTGGGATATCTGGATTGAACTCTGAGAATCATTTCCATTCCTCTCCCTGAATCTTCCTGAGTTGCTAAGGTGAGACAGCTCACTTTTGTATTCACCCTTCCTCTCTCCTTCCTCTCCTTCCCCAACCCCTATCCTCAGCTCCCCATCTCTTTCCTCTGCCACATTTCAGAGAACTCTCCTGGCCTCTGCTCCCCAGCCCCTCCTTGTTGGGTCCTTTCCCTGTGTTCCTGACCCCTAAGTTATATAGATATAGCAGATGCCCTGGTCCTGAGACCCCCCCCCGCCTCCCCGCCCAAGGCTCTAATGTGACCCTGGGCCTCTCTTCCAGTGCGGGCACTGGCCGCACAGGCTGCTACATCGTCCTGGATGTGATGCTGGACATGGCAGAGTGTGAGGGTGTTGTGGATATTTACAACTGTGTGAAGACCCTCTGTTCCCGGCGTGTCAACATGATCCAGACTGAGGTTGGAAGCCCAACCCTGTCCTCCACCTCTCCTCTCCCTCTAGGATTCAGATCTCTCTTGTGGAGCTCAGAGCTGGCGGAGCATATCTGCAGGGCAGGGGGATTCTTGGGTCTTACCACAGGTGAGTCAGATAGCAGTGGGCTCTGGAGTCAGATGTACCAGGGTTTGTGTCCTCAAAAGATTTAGGACCTCAGGCTGGCACCACACAGATGATCTGCTGGATGTTAAAGGATCAAGTAAACAAGAGCTGTCATGAAGGTTGGACTTGACCTGAGTCCTCCTGCCTCAGCCTTGAATTTGCTTGTCCTTCCCTCCTCTACAGAGCCCCAGTTTCCAGTCCCTTCCTCATTCTCACCTTCCTGTCTTCTGTTCCAGGAGCAGTATATCTTCATCCATGATGCAATCCTGGAGGCCTGCCTGTGTGGGGAGACCACCATCCCTGTCAATGAGTTCAAGGCCACCTACAGGGAGATGCTCCGAATTGACCCTCAGAGTAATTCCTCTCAGCTGCGGGAAGAGTTTCAGGTAGGCCGGCTGAGTATGTGTGTGTAGGACTGTGGTGTGTGGGTGTGTATGGGAGTAGGTATGAGTGTGTGTGTGTACAACAGGAGGGGGATGTGTTTTTTTGCTTCACTCTCAGACCGGGCCATGCTGTCTGTCCTCACCCCACTGTCTGTAGACACTGAATTCGGTCACACCGCCGCTGGACGTGGAGGAGTGCAGCATCGCTCTGCTGCCCCGGAACCGGGACAAGAACCGCAGCATGGACGTGCTGCCACCCGACCGATGCCTGCCATTCCTCATCTCCACTGATGGGGACCCCAACAACTACATCAATGCAGCCCTGACTGATGTGAGAGCTTGAGGGTGCAGCAGCTCTGGAATCCTTCTTCCTGGGAGGGTCTTCAAAGGAGTAGAGTGGAGGGCTCTGGCGGGGAAACTCCCCCTCTCTACTTCTCATTCTGTTGGACAGGCCCATGGGGTGACCTTCTTACCTTTGTCTTCTATTCTGGATGTTGAAAACAACACTCTCTTCTGGTGTTGCTTTCAGCCTTAGTGAGGGCTTGGGTGGTAGAGTTCAGGCAGGGTTGTCTCCAGGATCAGATGCAGCAGAGCCTGGGCTAGGATTAGTCATACATGGACTTTGGTTGGGGAGTCCCAGAAGATTTGGGGTTAGAACTTCAGTCCTAACATTTAGAGCCAGGGGAGCCTGTCCTGGGGAGATGGAGCAGGACCCTGGTCATGGGTTGAGAGCTCAGGAGTCTTTTAGCAATCCCATCCCCTGTCTTTAGCCCAAGGGACTTCACCTCCTTTACTGGGTGTTACAAGCAGAGCAGGAGATGGGTATTGGGGTTTTGGATGCTGAGGATGCTACTGTCTGAGGAGGAAGAGTCTATGAGGATCACCCCTGTCCCTCTTCCCTCTTGGAGCCTGTTGAGAGAGGTCCAGACAGGTGGAGAACGGAGTGTTACAGAAAATGCTAGAGAACATGGTTTAGACTTGTAGCCACATGGGCTTGTATGTGCCTTGGACCCTCTGCCAGGCTGACTTGCCTTCCTAGATACATCAGGGCAGGCCATCATGGGTGGCGGGGCACATCACAGTGAGAAAGCCCCACTGAGAAGACTGAGCTGTCTTCAGTGAGTCACCACCAGGGAGAAGGGAGGGAGGGAACCAGACCAGATGCAGCACAACTGGATGACTTCCACATAGGGAGAAGAGAGATCCCTCCCAGTGGGTCTCAGGGAGATGGGCCTTTCTTGGCCTTGGTTTCTGGGCCAGAGCCCCTCAGCAGGACTGCACAAGGCACAGTGGAGTTTCTCTAGTGAGGGCAGCTCCCCTGCGTTTCCCATGAGTGAGACCTGGGAGAGACTCATCATCACTGGTACTTAGCCCATTGCCATGTGAGTGCTCATGTATGCCCTTGGCTTGCTTGGGGGTGTCTGGACCTGCTCCTGGAGGGTAGCATGATTTGGAATGGGAACTTAGGATCTTGTGACCTCCCTCTCAGCCCTGACGTTCATCCCAGTGTGCCAGCTGCACCCTGGGGTCTGGATGGGAGGCTCTGGGGAGCTTGAGTCTTTAGCTGGCAAGGAGTGGGAATCATGGGTGGAAATGGGTGGTTGGGAGAAGCTGCTGGCGCAGCTCTGCCCCATCCTGGGTCCCTGATGCCTCAGATACTCGCCCCCAGCCTGTGGCTTGGGTCTGGGATCCAGGAGGCCTGAATTTTGGATGGCAGTGGGTTTGTCTGGAGCAGAGGAGTCAGCTGAGGTTTGTTTGGAGTGGTCCAGTCTATAGGAAATCCGGGGGGCACTCATTCCTAAGTGTTGGCCTCTGGGAGCTACTGATCAGAGTACTGTCAGTGGGCCCTGAGGGTTTGCAGCTGGGCAGGGGCCTTATATCTCTGTCCTGTGGAACATGGCAGAAGGCAGGCCAAGGATCACTCAGGACCAATCAGGGCTGAGACCAGAGGAAGCAGAGGACAGTCAGAGTCCTGCCAGCACCTAAGTTCATAAGGAGGGCCAGGGTCGGAATAGGGTTGTAGAAGGAAAGGGAGGGGAGGAGTTCAGGGGTGGGGCAAGAGACCCTCGGGAGGCTTGGCACTGGACTTCTGTGAAGAGAGGACTGGGTGCTAGCTCACCTGGCAGGGAACAGGGAGCAGAGTCAGGCCTGTTACCATCTGGGGAACAGCATGGGGTCTCTAACCTTTCAGCTGTGAGGCCAGAAATAGTCTAGGGATTTTTTTATTTAGAAATAATTATTGAGGGCCACTGGTGCAGGCCTTTAATTCCAGTACTCAGGAGGCAGAGGGAGGGATCTCTCTGAGATCAAGGCCAGCCTGGTCTAAAGGAGTTCCATGCCAGCTGGCGCCTGCTCCAAGCAACATCCTTTGGCTACAACATAAATTGGTAACATCGCGATTCCCAGCTTTGATCTCAATGTGATGGGTTTCAATCTGATTAAAAATTCCAACGAAAAGGGAAAGCTCAGAATAGTGAATTTAAAAAAAAAAAAAAAAAAAAAAAAAAGTAACTATTGAACTCTTAAAATATACTGGGCAGAGTCTAGACCCTGAGATCTCTGATTCTCTAACCTGGGGCGTTTGGGCAGGGCTAGTAAATACACAATGGAATGCCAAACATTGGGAATTTCAATAGAAATCAACAGGCAAAAGAACTTCATTCAGAGGCGGGGCCTGTGTATGGCCAGGCTTGAGGAAGTGATAAGGGACTTCTTAAGGAGATGACAGTTCATCAAAGACCAGAGGGAAGTGAGGGAGAGAGCCAAGCAGATATTTCGTAGATTGGCCCTGGGCTGGAGAGATGGTAGGGAGAAAGCTTGAGTCCCCATTCAGGGATCTTTTGCTGCTTAGCTCACGTGGGCCATGGGCTTGGGTACTATAGGCCTGGGGCCGGCGACCCTGTCAGCTTAGGCTTCAGCATGCTGGGCAGCCTCTGGCAAGGACCACTGTGGCAGCCTGGTCCTGCTGGCACAGCTGTCCTGTCGAGGTTGGGCTGAGCACAGATCCCTGCTGAGCGCTGGTCTCTCCCTACAGAGTTACACTCGGAGCGCAGCCTTCATCGTGACCCTGCACCCACTGCAGAGCACCACCCCTGACTTCTGGCGGCTGGTCTACGACTATGGATGCACCTCCATCGTCATGCTCAACCAGCTGAACCAGTCCAACTCTGCCTGGGTGAGGCTGGCCAGGGCCTCAGTGTGTTCCAGGTCACCATCCCCAAAGTCAAAAGCAGGAGCCCAGCTCTGCCATCCATGTATTGTGTGGTCTTAGACCAGTCCCACTCCTCCCCAGAGCCTTGGTTTCCTGGTCTATAAGCAAGATTTCATATGGAACCAACTGGCTGCTTTTTTTTCAGCACTTGCTGTAAGCCAGGGGCCCTTTTGCATTCATGGTCTTTTATCTAATTGAGGTGAAGGCTTCAGAGGGGAAAAGGGAATTAAGACCCTTGGGGAGAAGTACTTTCTCCAACATCACATAGCTGGGAGGGGGCAGTGCTGTGATCCCTACCCTGGAGTGTCCCTTTCAAAGTTTCTGCTTGTGTGGTAGGTCCCCTAGACTACCCACCCCGTGGCCTTTGAGGGGCCTCTTTTCTCTTGGACTTAGGGTAAGCTATGTTACCTCTTTATGCCCCCACTTTCCTTTTCTGTAAAATGGGCCCCATCACAGGACCTTTTCTGATGGGAATTGTGCTGGGCCTGGCATAATTGCTCAGGGATGCAGATGATAATGGTGACAGTCGCTGCTGAGGGTGGCCAGACACTGGCTAGTGATAGAAAATCTGGGAATGCCCTTTGGACTCCCCATTTCCCTTTGGGACTCCCAGGGCCAGAGCTCCTAGGAGTGCAGATGCCTGACCTTCTAACTATCTGACCACACACGCTGGGTCTCCCTCCACCCACCAGATGCCCCTGCCCTCTGCCCTCTGCCCAGAAGGTTTTCTGAGGTGAGCCACGGATTCTTCTGACTGCCTATGAGTGAGGTTGCTGGCACGTGACCCAGTACTACAGAGATGGGCCCTGGGTCCTGGGTAGGGGTCTGGATCAGTCTCAGCTCTGGCAGGAGCCCACCTTTGTTGGGGTGGAGGGAAAGATGCAGAGCAAGTTTACCCAGACATCACTGGCTCCTCACCAAACTGCTCATGCATTCAGCCATTTTCTCTAGGGATTCTCTCTGCCAGGCTTATGGCAGGCAGTAAGAATACCTAGCCCCTTCTAGATCTCACAGTCCAAGGAGAAGCAAATGCACACACAGATAGTACAGATGCCAGAGAGAAAAGCTCATTCTGGAGCTGACACTAGGACGCAGAGAAACCTGGGAGATAATGTGTCCAGAAGGGCTTCCTGGAGGAGGCAGTGTCTGAGCTATGCTGGGTGGGAAGGGAAGAATTCAATGGGGTGAGAAGGTGGGGGAAGGATGATTAAGGCAGAGTTCTGACAAGCACAGGTTTTCAGGACCCCACATGTGAAGAGGAGGTTGCGTCCTCTTCTCGGGGCTGTGGTCAGAGGGAAGCAGATGGAGCATGGTGTCGCTTGGGATGAGTGACTGTTATCTCCGTTCCTGCTGTGTAGTAAGGGCCTACCCAGGGTCAGCATAGCCCAGTGTCAAGCATCTTTAGGCACCTTTTACACATAGTACTCACAGTAACCCCACAAGGACGAGTCCTGTGATGATTTTACAGAGAGGGAAACTGAGTCTCAGGAGGTAAGTTAATATACCCTAGTTTTACAGATGGATAAACTGGGACCAGGTAGAGAACAGGCTAGATGCTTAGGCTCTAGGGTGATCAGTCCATCAGATCTGAGTGTGTCTCTGTGTGTATGTGTGTGTATATGCATGTGGTGCCTGCCTCTGCTCCTTTCCTGTCTCCATGTGGTCTTCAGGGGCAGACAGGTAGCACCTTGTATCTATGGAGGGCTCTGGGCTAGGAGTAGAACCATGTTCCAGCATCAGGGACACCCCACTTCTCAGCTGCATCTGGAGCAAGGAGGTGGGGTTGGATGGGAATGGTTGGGGTGATCCTTGACTCTCCTCAAACGGAGGCAGCATGATGCAGGTATATAGGCACAGTGCATGCAGGATGTAGTAGCATGTTGGGGTGGAGGTGTCTAGCCACGTGGCAGTGGGTATCATGACTCTCTGTGTGCAGGGTCTATTGTGGCTAGACTGAATGTGTTAGGGTAGATGCCCTGGGCAGGTGTCCTTGTGTTCTGATGGTGAGTGGTAGAGAGAGTGTGTCCTGCAGGGGAGTGAGGTGGTGAGCCAGAGTGTAGAGCTCCCAGAGGAGAGGGTTGCATTGGGGTGAGCCCTGGTCCTGCTCTACCTGGCTTTCTCTCTGTGTCCCAGCCCTGTCTGCAATACTGGCCAGAGCCAGGCCGGCAGCAGTACGGCCTCATGGAGGTGGAGTTTGTGTCCGGTACAGCCGATGAGGACTTGGTGGCCCGAGTTTTCCGGGTGCAGAACATCTCCCGGGTGAGTGGCTTGGAGACCCCAAGGGTGAAAACCTGGGTGTCCAGGGCTGCCTTTAGTGACCCTCTAGAGGTCATCAGAGGCTCCTGTGACCTTGATATTCATGTCGTGTGTTGTGTCCGTGTCCCGTGTCCCTGTTCCATGTCCTGTGGCACCCCCCATTCCATGTCCTGTGCCCCCCCCCGCTTCTGTGCCTCAGCTGCAGGAGGGTCACCTGTTGGTACGGCACTTCCAGTTTCTGCGCTGGTCTGCTTACCGGGACACACCTGACTCCAGGAAAGCCTTCCTGCACCTGTTGGCTGAGGTGGACAAGTGGCAGGCGGAGAGTGGGGATGGGCGCACTGTGGTGCACTGCCTGTGAGTGCTTGCCTGGCAGGAGGGGGGAAGGAGGGCTGAGGGAGGGCTAGAAAGGCAGGGCAAGGTCCTGAGACAGGGCTTCAGGGCTGGCATAACAGAACCCAGGCTCACAGGGGCTGTGGCCTGGACCATCTTTGACTAGCCAAGGCTGGTCGTATCTTCCCTGGAGGAATCCAGTCACTTTCCACGACATATAGCTTTAACCTGGGGCAGCTGTCCAGGGCCTTCTGTATAATGTTTGACTTTGACAGTTTAGTCTTGTCAGAATCCCTCACCCCATGAGATTGTAGCTTACTTAAGCCATTTTTCCCTTTTGTGTATGTGTGTGTGCATGATGTCATGGAGGAATCTGGAGGTCAGAGGACAACTTTGTGGAGTTGGTTCTCTGCTTCCACCTTTACATGGGCTCTGGGGATCAAACTCAGATCACCGGTTTGCATGGTAAATGCCTTTATCCACTGATTCATTTGTTGGCGCTATGTAGCATATTTGGATTTTTTTCTTACATTTATTTATTTGATATGTGTGCATGTGCATTAGTGCATGTGTATAAATACATATGTACATGTGTATGCATGTGTGTGCAACAGCATATGTATGTGAAATTAGAGGACAACTTGTAAGAGTTGGTTTTCTCCCCACCATGTGGGTCCTGGGTATTGAACTCAGGTTGTTAATCCCTGTGGCAAGCACCCTTCCCTGTTGAGCCATCTTGCCAGCCCCATGTTGCATACATTTTATGCCAGTGGAATTCTAGTCATGTTTACACATGAACACATGCAATGTCTTTCTTTTTTTCTCCTTCCTTCCTTCCTTCCTTCCTTCCTTGCTTCCTTCCTTCCTTCCTTCTTTTTCTTCCTTTCTCGCACGTGCACGCTCCACTTATTAAATCACATACGTGCTCCGTTCATAAATCTGTTTTCACTCATGTCTGGGTACCTCTTTGTGACCCACTTTAAAAAATATTTTATTTTTATTATTTTTATTTTATGTGTATGACTGTATTCCCTGCATGTATGTAAGTGCACCCATGTTGTGCAAGGCCCATGGATGTCAGAAGAGGGCGTTGGATTCCCTGGAACTGGAGTTATGGACGGTTGTCAGCTGCCATATGGGTGCTGGGAATCGAACCCAGGTCCTCCAGTTAATAGCCAGTGCTGTTAACTGCGGAGCCATCTCTCCAGGCCTAGCAGCCCACTTTTTTATGTTTCTGACACTTACTGAGCTTCCCAGTGCCAGGCCAGCCAGTCCTCAGGAGGTTTGCTTTCCATTCTGAGAGAGAGAGAGAGGGCCTGGAGCAGGAAGCTGAGGGCTAGCTGGTCTCACATTCCCTAGGAGGCACATGGAGTCACAGGAACGGGGAGTGGGGAGGACTCTGGCGGCCACAGGTTGGGTTCAGTGCCCATGTTTGCCTTGTGGTCTGTGTTGCTGGCCTAGACTGTCTTCCCAGAATTCATTTTCCATCTTGCTTTGGGGCTTGTTTGCTGCTGGGCTGCCCTTCCCTGTCACTGCCCTCATCTAGTGTCTCTCTTGGAGTGTCAGGATCTTTTCTCTAGGAGTCTGTAGGCCGTTCTTCCTTGAGAATGTCTTCTGAGATGACATAAGCTTCAGCCCTGAGCTGTCTCTTAAACCTTTTGGTCCCAGGCTGGTCTCTGGGCCCCACCTCTTGCTTCCCCTTGTGGCTCTTTAGTCTTGCCTTCTACTCCCAGGCCTTCTGATCCTTTTCTTTTGGGTTCCCCAGCCCTTCCTCTCCCCTTTGGCCCCTCTGATCTCATCCCTGTCTTTGGTTACCTAGCCCTGCCCTTTACCTTGGATTCCTAGGTCCTGTCCCAAACCTCTTATGTGTCTCCTTTAGCAACGGGGGCGGCCGTAGTGGCACCTTCTGCGCCTGTGCCACGGTCCTGGAGATGATCCGCTGCCACAGCCTGGTGGATGTTTTCTTTGCTGCCAAAACACTTCGAAACTACAAGCCCAATATGGTGGAGACCATGGTGAGGGGCCACATTTCAGACACAGACACTTCCAACTCCCCATCCAAGCCCCACCAGGTTCCTCAGCACCTACTCCCCAGTCTGGTCCCCACCCTGTGCCTTGGTTCCAGTCCTGGGGTGTTAGAATGTTCTCAGTCCTTCTTCTCTGGAGGACGGCCAGGGCTCATGGTACTCTCTCTCTGCAGGATCAGTACCACTTTTGCTATGACGTGGCACTGGAATACCTGGAGGCGTTGGAGTCAAGATAGCAGGCCCCTGGCCTGGGGCACCCACTGAGCACTCAGGGCCTGGCCCGCCATCCTAGACTGGTGAAGAGGACCTGTGTCCCCACTCTGCTCAGCCATAACCCTGTGGGGAGAACACTGGAGTGGACACTGCGCCATCTTGGTGGCTCCCGTGGGCAGACTGCAGGCCAAAGAGGAGCTTAGCAAGAATGCAGTCAGCCCCGCCTCTACAGGGCCCCACAGACCTGTGCAGAGAGGCCTGGGCCAGTGATCCTGGGCTAGAACAGTCAGTGCTGGGGGATCCAGGCCACACTCCTCGACTTCATCCCAGCCCACAAGAGATGAGTGAGGCTCTGCAGAGAAAGTGTCCCAAGCCAAGGTTTTCACCCAACACGGCCCCTTCTACATGCAGTGGAGGCACACTGGGGCTTGGCACCCTGAGTCCCGCCTGGCCTGGCCACTGAGCAGCTGCGGCTGTGTCCTGAGTTGCCGGTGGGACCTGATGAACATCTTCCAGTTCCCTTCTCTATCCCTCTGCTCCCACGGACCTTGGGGTGCTGTGCCTGCCATGCCCCCTCCCCTTCTGCTTCTGAGCTTCCTGGACTAGGATCTCTCATCTGGGCCCCATCCCTGCCTGGCCCAGTGTCTGCAGAGTGATGTCACCTCAGCCCCCTCTTCCCTAGCCTTCAGGGTTGGTCCTGCTCAGCTCTGCAAGGCTGAACCACAGCCCCTGGGGTTGAGGTCCCTGTGGCATCTGGTGAGGCCGCCACTGGGACAGTACAAGAGCAGGGCGGGTCTCAACCCTTAGCGTTCAGGAAAGGAAGGGGGCACTGTGGGATGGAGGACCAGTGCTTTTTTGTTGTTATTTTTTGATGGGAGGGTGAGAAATTCTCTTTATAATGGGGTAGGCCACATCCCCATTCCGTGCCTCAATTTCCCCATCTAAACTGTAGATATGACTACTGACCTACCTCGCAGGGGGCTGTGGGGAGGCATAAGGTAATGTTTGTAAAGTGCTTTGTAAATAAATGTGCTCTCTGAATGCCACTCAGAGACCCTGTGTGTGACTGACCAGCCTGGCCAGGGTCTGCTTACCTGTCCAGCCTCCTGGTGCAGTGTGGGTCAGACAATGAAGAAGCAGAGAGTGGAGACCCAGTACCTCAGTGGGTAAGAGTGCTTGCTGCACAAGCATGGGGACCTGAGTTCAAGTCCCCCGCACCCATGTAAAAAGTCAGGTATGGCTACACATGCCTGTAACCCAAGCATTGGGATGAGTGGTTTCCTGGAACTCACTGGCTGGTCAGCCTCACCCAAACGATGAGCCTCAGGTTCAGTGGAAGACTTGGTTTCCAGGTAATAAGATGGATGGCAATAGAGGAACACACCAGACATCTTCCTTTGGCTATCACATGTGCATATATGGATGTGTGCACCCTCCCCATCCCCTGAAAAAAAAGGAGCAGAGAATGGTGAATGCTGGTGATTAGATCCCTTTCTCCTTTTTATTCAGTCCAGGACCCCAGTCCATGGAGTGATGCCTCCCACAGTTAAGGTAGGTCTTCCTTCCTCAATTAACCTAATTTAGATAATCCCTCACAGGTAGGTTTAGAGGCTTGTGTCCTGGGTGATTTCAGATCCCATCTAGTCAACAATATTAAGCATCATATCGAGGTGTCTGAGGTAGTTTCTCAGGCAGTGGGCTTCTTCTGGTGGTCTGGAGCTGCCTGGCATCCCCCAGGGGGCCAGGTCAGGGTCAGCTCCACTGCAGCAGGAGGGACTCAGCCTTGGCACCAGACAGATCCCAGGTGAGTCAGCTGGGGGCCCTGGGTAGGTCAACTGCCCTCTCCGAGCTTCGGTTTTTCACCTATAACTTGGAATAATCCTGTTGGAATCTGATAGATGGTCTTAGATGGTGCCGAACATGCTGAACAGGCTCTTTGACAAAATACTTAGTAGAGGTGGGACAAGGCAGAGACATCCCTGCTGAACACAACTGTTCAGCTGCCCTGGTCCAGCCTACTCCCAGCCTTAGGCTTCATGGGGACCCAGGTTACACCTGGCTCTGTCACCAGCTTGTTGTGTATGTGTGTCCTTGTGTAAGACACTTCCTATTCTAGGTTTACTTCACATGAAAACTGGCCTTTTTGTAGACTGATTCTATTCACATTCCACCTGATGTCTGTGAGTCAAGATAGGGCCTCTTCATGGGGGTGGTTGCACACACTGTTATCCCAGCACTTGGGAGGCAGAGACAGGTGGATATCTGTGAGATCCAGGCCAGCTTGGTCTATAAAGCTGAGTTCCAGGCCAGCTGGGGCCACAGGAAGACCCTGTCTCAAAAACAAACCAAAACCAACCAACCAAACAAAAAAGATAGGGTCTCTTCTAATGATTCTCAATCCAACTTCTAATCTGAGTTAAAAATTTGGCCAGCTGGCTCAGGTAACAGACTGACCCTCATTCTGCCTTAAGTGATGGGACCCAGATGTACGTCACAGAGACTAACCAAGCCATAGAACATGACTGGCTTTGACCAATAGAATGTGGCCAAAATGATGACATGTGACTTCGGGTTCTCCCTCCAGCCATACTTCAGCATTCGCCTTGCCCTCCTGCCTCTGCCCTGTAAGCAGGCCTGCACAGCCTACTGGGTGATTGGACATCCCCTAATGGTCAGTACCAATTGCCAGACCTGTGTATGAGGCTGTCTTGGATCTTCTAGCCCAGCTGACCTGTCAGGTCAACGTAGCCATGTGATTGATTAGAAGAAACTGCTTGACTAACTTCTGGAACCCAGAGAGATTATAAATGGTTCTTTCTAAAGCCAGCAAGTGTGGAGATCATTTGTTATGTACTAAAATCTAGCTGATACATACATGTGGTGGTGCAGACATAGTGTTCTTTGCTCCACACAGTACTGAGCTCCACAAGGGCTGAGAATGATCCTGTGTTCACCTAAAAGGTTTGTTTTGAAGCTGATGCTCAGGAAATCCTGGCATTCTGAGGGGAGGATGTAGGGAGGCCTCTCTGACCTCATGTGGCCTTTCAGAGGAGCTGGGGCTGGGGTAGGTGTTGGGAGGAGAGCCAACTCCAGAATCAACAAGCCAAGGTTCTATTAACCGTACAGTCTACCAGGAGGTGACCAGAGATGGTTCAGCAGTTAAGAGCACTGATTGCGCTTCCTGAAGACCTGGGTTTGGTTTCCAGCACCCAAATGGCAACTGACAACCATCTGTAACTCCAGTTCCAGGGGAATCCGACACTCTCTTCTGACCTCTGCAGGCATTGCATGACATGGGTGTACTTACATACATACAGGCAATACATTCATACACATAAAAATTTAAAAAGTAAATAAAATGTTTAAAAGAGTATGCATACTTCAACTGAATAATTGTCCTTTGATAAAGACATCTCATATCATGATATAGAGAGCTTTCTATTTCAATAGTTCAGCTTAATAATATTTAGTTACATTTATTTAATTGCATGTATGCATATGAGTGCATTTGCCACAGTGTGCACGTGGAGGTCAGAGGACAGTTTGCAGGCGTCAGTTCTCTCCTTCCACCGTGTGCATCTTAGGGATGGAATTAGGGTCGTCAGGCTTGATAGCAAGCACGCCTAGCCGCTGAGCCATCTTGATGGCCCTTAATGACATTTTAACTTTTTTTTTTTTTTTTTGAGACAGGGCCTCCTTGTTGCCCTGGCTGGCCTAGAACTTGCTATATAGACTAGGCTGGCCTTGATCTCACAGAGCTCCTCCTGCTTCTGCCTCCTGAGTGCTGGGATTAAAGGCATATGCCACCACACCTGGCCAATATTTTGATTTTTTTGGTGATGCAAAGTCATATATATTTAGTAGAAACCATCCTTCACATTTTGAATTTTGATCTTTTCCTGGGCTAGCAATAAGCAGTGTGATCCTCTCTATTGATGCTAGGTAGTGGCCATGAGACCAGAGGGCAAACCACTCATTCTCATACTGAGTTGCTAAGTTACGATGCTGGGTAGGTTAATTGGGTTAAAGGCACTTTTTACTTGGGAGACTTTTCAATTTATGAGTTTATTGTGACCTGAAACTGTGAAAGCTGATAAATACTGGTACTGAGGTCCCTGAAATAAAATGGTGTGCACTACTTTTTAAAAATTTCTTATGGGAGGGCTTGAGAGATGGATCAGCAGTTAAGAGCTCTGGCTGCTCTTGAAGAGGACCTGGATTTAGTTCCTAGCACCCACAAGGTGGCTGACAACTGTCTGTAACTCCAGGTCCAGGGGATCTGATGTCCTCTTCTGACCTCTGTGGGCACTGCATGACATGGGTATACTTACACACATGTAGGCAATACACTGGTACACATAAAATGAAAATAATAAATCACGAGTGTGGATGAAGTGTATGAGTGTGGGTGCACAGATGCCACAGAGTGCATGTGGAGGTCAGAGGATAACCTTAGGGGTTGATCCTCATCTTTCACCTGAGTTAGGGTTGCCTGTTTGTCACTGTGTACACCTGGCTAGCTGGCCTGCAAACTTCCAGGAATTCTCTTTGCCTACCTCTCTCCATTGGAGCACCAGCATGACAGATGTGTCCCGCTCATGTGGATTCTGGGGATCTGAACTCAGGTCTTCAGACTTAGTAGCAAGCCCTTTACTCACTGAGCCATCTCTCCAGCCATACCTTTTGTTTAGTGCCCACTGCTTGCTGTGCTGTGCCTTATTCCCTTTATCTCTTACTTAATTTACTCCGATGCTTTAAAGATTCCACCTTTTCCTGTAGAGATGATAAAATGGAGGTTTTGGAAGGGTATCTGCTCACCCAAGGCTACTAGGGCAGAGTCAGGCTGATCCCCAAACCCCAGCCTTTAGCTAATCATTGGCCTACCTGGGTGGTGTCAAATACCCAAGGATTCCCTTAGATTCAGGACCACCTGGCATTGGTACCTTGGGTCTTGGCACTAATTTTGAGATGCTTGTAATTTAGGAGGGCAGGTGGTGGCCTCTGAGACAAGGTGGCCTGGAGCATAGGAAGATGAAGGATTCTCCAAGTTCTGCCCAGGAACTGGGCTGAGCAGGTGGGGGTAGAAGCCTTGGTTTCCCCAGGACCTGGCAGAGTTTCTGTAATTACAGATGGACTACCAGGAGCCCAGCAATTGATTGTGCTGTAAGAAATGTGGCAGTCAGGACAGTCACCACTTGTCACAGCCCAGACTAGGACATGCTGTGTATCTCAGGCACACAAGTGATGGAGTTGTGTCTCTGACAGATACTAAGGCTGCCCAAGGGCTTGAGAAGGGTTCTGACCACTCTGTATCATTGGGTTCCACCAACCTCCCCTTCTGATCTCTGCTGGATGGGAGCTTAATGGGCTTTGGCCTGGATGCCCCAGGCTGAGGACAGTATGCCATTGGTTGACCTGGATCCAGCCCAGGTTGAAGAATCTTTGGACACAGTGACTTGAAGAAGCAGTGGTTTCATTGGTGCCCATTGTCCAGCGCTCTGTGGAGACTGTTATCTGTAGGTCACCAATGAAGCCAGGAGGGAGGTATTATTTCGGCCCCATTTTAATGAACAGAGAGGCCCAGAGAGCTTAGCTCAAGGTCAGATTGCTGGGAGCGTCATATAAATGGCAACCAGTACATCCTTTGAGAGAGCAGGTCAGGCCTAGTTGTTTGCCTGATCAGACCCTGTGGTAGCCTCTTCTGTTTTGCACCCGAGGACTGAACCTCCTCATGGGACTTCCCAGCTCTGACCTGGTCTCTGTCCCTCTGATTATGGTTCCTCTTGCACCTCTGGGCTCACTCAGTCTCATCCTCAGCTTTCCTGGGCACCTTTCACAGTCTCCAAGTGGCTGGTTCCTTCCTGGTGTCCACCCCTCTGATATCTACACTCTGAATGCCCTGGATGCCCTGCCTGCTTCACTGTAGCTATCACTCTCCCTATGTCTGTACCTTGCTACTTTCTTGCAGGAACATCTGGCTTGTTTTCTTATTGGTTGCTGTTTCCTCCATCAGGCAATGAGCTGCAAGCTGTCAAGGCCATGTGGACCTTGTCCCCTGTGTTCCCTGCAC